GACTGCAGTTCATTTGATCAGGGTGTTAATTGTGCAGTAGGGAGTCTGGGTGTTGGTAGAATGTGCAAAGTTTATTCATTCATGTGGTAGGCAGTAATACTCCACATCTGCCATGTTCTTTCTGTGTTCCCTCTTCAGGGCCGTGGTCAGTCTCTTTGTAGGGAGTGTCCAGAGGGTACATTCTGCAATGAGACAGGCCTGGCTGCACCCCAGGATTGTCCCAAAGGGCATTTTTGCTTGGCTGGAAGTTCCTTGCCTCTCCCGTGTCCAGCGGTAAGAATGAAACATGGCCTTGTTTTTCAAGAAGTACATTTCAGCAGGTTTCCAGTCCCTCGGCAGGGGGGATTCATTGATGTTCTCTTTTTGTGCAGGGAACTTACACAGATGTGATCAGGGCAGGTTCATGCAAGCCCTGCCCAGCAGGCATGTACTGCAGCGTGGCTGGTCTGACTGAGCCAGAAGGACGTTGCCAGCCAGGGTATTACTGCATTCAAGGTTCCAGCAGCTCCTCACCTGTGAGTTCAGCGTACCTTGCATTGTTTCCAACGTTTTGGCACTACAAAAGCTTTCGTAAACCTTACTAATTTTATTTTCCCTGCTCCAGGTGGGTCTTCCCTTTGGAGATCTATGCCCCCAAGGACATTATTGCCCTGCTGGCACAACACACCCAAAAGAGATGCCATGCCCTGCTGGCACCTGGAACGGACAGAGAGGAGCCCAGGATGCCACTTGGTGTCTGCCTTGTGCCCCTGGGTTTTTCTGCAATATGTCTGGCCAGGATGCTCCTGTAGGACTTTGCGCACAAGGTGAGACAAAGCCAGAAATTTGTTAGCTACTTAGAAATTCAGTTGGTTTTGACCAGGAGACAGAACTTAAATGTTTTCTGCTTTTAAGGCTATTACTGCACAGGAAGGACGAAGACTGCAAAGCCGGAAGATGGTCTTTCTGGAGATCTATGTCCTCGAGGACATTTCTGCCCCACAGGCTCTGCAGCACCTTCTCCCTGCCCCAGTGGAGAATACAGTAATGCAACAGGTCAGGAACTAGATTTTTGCAACTTCGGTGTGACTTGGGGGAGCTAGAAACACAGATCATACTTTACATCCATATCCAAGAATGTCTTGGGAGCTGCTGGCCAATATGATCATTCAGTATTTGGAGGGGCCAGAGAAAGGGGTTTGAAGGGGCTTTGTGGTTTGGGTTTTTTTACTGGTGTCACGTGGGGAATATATTTCACCCCTGCAGCAGCTCATCTATTAGGATTGTAGCAGTGAGAGTGCACGGAAAGCTATGAGCAGTTAACCAGATAGCCTTCCTCTTCTGCCTGCCACCTAATGGGAGACGTGGAGGTTACTGGCACTCTGGGGATGGTGAAGTTGAGAAGCTTGGTGAATCGCACACTCCTGGGAGAAGGCTGATGTTTGAAGGCCAGTTATTGCAGGAGGGCTTACAGAGCAGCTTTGCTTCAATTTCTACTTCTTTAAGCGTACAACCAGGCAGGGGGAAGTTGTGCTCATGGTATTTTTCTTCCACTTTCTTACATGGTTCCATTTAATTCCTGTATTTCCTTCACAGGTCAAGATAAATGCTTTCCTTGTCCTGCTGGGTTTCACTGTTCAAAAGGACTAAGACGTCGCTGTCCTCCAGGATTCTATTGCCCTCAGAAAACTGGAATTAGTTTTTATCCTTGTCCCCCTGGGACTTACAACCCCTCCTATGGACTCAGTGGGGCTGAGAGGTGTCAGCAGTGCCCTGCAGGTGAGGAAATGAACAGGAACTCTGATTGTCCATGTAGGACAGTGTCTAAGGGGGTGATCTCTCTGCTTACCTCTTTTCCTAATCCACTGATGTGTGTTTCACCTCTAGGAAATGCAAACAGAAAAATACACAGTCAAAGAAGGTCCCTTGTCCCACTGATAGCATCCCTCAGTAAGCCGTGGGTGTTTTTTGAGGCTCTGCAGAGGGGTTTGGTTTACACTCAGGGTTCCCCAGAGGAGCATGATCTGAGTTGAGATGTGTTTTTGTCCCACTTGTGCTGACGCTGAGGGACTGGCTCTCTCAAAATCTTCCCCTTTATCTTCTAATCAGCATACGCAGCACAGCAGCTCTCCTGGTTTTTCTCCCAGATTACCAATACTCTTTTCCCTCTGTGGTCTTCCAGGAATGTTCTGTGGAGAATGGGGATTGTCCTCTCCAAGTGGTCCTTGCTGGCCAGGGTTCTTCTGCACAACAGGTATTGAATTTAGTGTTCACAGGGCAAAAAGGGAAGTGAAAAAGTAGAAAGCTGTGGCCCTTTAGGAATTGGTTTTTATACATTCTCTGTACAATCTATCCCTGGCTTTTATGGCAGGATAGTCCTGAGGAATGAAGCTGTGTGATAAGGTTACGTTCACATCAGAAGTTTCTCTAGCCAAATACCTGCTTTCTGAGGCTAGCAGAAGGACCGGCAAAACTACAAGAAATAGACTCAAACAAGTTGTTACCATAGGAATTTGACTGTTGTGAGCAAGTTTACTGGCATCTTTCAGCTGGTGTTTGTATAAAATAAAGATATCCTTCAGGATATCTTTGTCTATCTTCCTCATGTAGGAGCAAGTGTCCCAAACCCTAATGGAGTCACAAACACGAGCACCGGTGGCCCGTGCCCACCTGGACACTTCTGCCCAGCTGGCACAAGTATCCCTCAGCCGTGCCCCGTGGGCACTTACTCAGACAGGTAAGCTTCTTGCTTCTGCTGGTGCTAATTTATATTTTCCTTTTCTTTCCGGTTTTTCCCGTAGTCCTTTAAGCAACAGAGTGCAGCTCAGTAAAGCTCATTAGACACATCTTTGCGTTGATATTAAAAGCTTCATCATTGTTTTTGCTCGGCCAGAGGTGTAGGCATCGATGGTCTGTCTGCTGAACTTGCACACTTGCCAACAGAAACCCTGCTTATGTCCCTCTCCAGGCTCCACAACTGGCAGGACTCCAGCTGCACAGTGTGTCCATCTGGCCATTACTGCAGCTCTGCTGGCCTCACAGCACCCTCGGGACCCTGCTCAGCTGGGTACTACTGCCTCTCCGGAGCTTCCTCACCATCGCCTCCCGGTGAGCTGCACTGGGCAAACGTCAGTGTCTTCATCTGCCTCTGTCCAATAATTAGGGGTTTGGCCAACATGTAGCTTGAAAATTGCCACCTTTTTCCCCTGGTATTCCTACCCCTGCCTTTGCTCAGTCACCCAGGTTGCCTGTATTAATTCTGCTTGAGGTAATTTGTACCAATGCATACATGCCAGGGATGAAGCAGCAGGTGGTCCTCCAGTCTGTGTTATCAAATGAGATACTTGTATTAAGCACTGGGAAGGTGTTTAATACAGGTGCCTGCCTGTAACGGACATAGCCTGGTACCTCCTTGTCATTTTATTGTGTCTCAGAAATAGTAATTTCCAGAGAAGAGTTCCAAATGAACAATTCCACATTCTACAGAATGCCAGGTATATGTGAAGCAGAGTCTTTAGAAAGCTGATCTGTTAAATACGTTTTGCTTTGCCTGTGAAGCAAGGAGAGAAGAGCCATGGTGACACAGCATCAAGTGATTCCAAAGCTGGGATACAGTGGTCATTCTAGTTACTCTGTTGTGCATCCTCTTGATCTTCTGGGATCCCAGAGAAGACATGATCCCCATCAGTGGGGTGTTAGCTCCCTTTGTTGGCCACATCTCTTCTACTTTCTGTGTCCTAGGTCTGCAGGAGAAAGGAGGCCCTTGTCCTGTGAGCCACTTCTGCCCAGAAGGAACCAGCTTTCCCTTACCCTGCCTTGCAGGGACTTACAACAACCTCACCAGACAAGCTGCATGCTTCACTTGTGCTGCAGGCTACTACTGCCCAGAAAATACCACCAGCTACAGTATGAACCCTTGCCCAGCTGGTTTTTACTGCCCCAAAGGTGAGATGGGCGTGTGGGACAAGGCAATCTATTGGCCAGGCTGAAATATCCTTCTTAAAGGCAAAAAATTATCTCCGTGAACAAAACATTTCAGTGTCACTGATTCTTCACATAAAAAACAGCCAATCTTTTAAACCATAGATGTGGCTGTTACTTAACTCCCTCGCAGGCAAACTAAGCAGTGCCCAGAGAGTGTCTTTACTATGAGGGGCAAGCTGTGCACCGTGGAGAGCAGAAAGGAGATAAACTGACAAAAACGACATTAAGTGATAAAACAGGATTAATAGCCAAGAGCATTTATAGCGCATGAAAGATTCTTGTTCTCTTTATTCCGAAGGAACCAGGTTTGCCACTGAGTTTCCCTGTCCCCGGGGCTACTATAACCCTGATGCCATGACACAGAGCCTGGATAGCTGCTTGCCCTGTCCACCTGGGCACTTCTGTGGGAAGGAGAACTTGACAGCCGCCTCCGGCGAGTGTGATGCAGGTGAGTCTGGATCCGTTTGGCTGTTGTATTGCACAGTTCTTGAGGGCAGTGTGTTCTGTGACAATAGCTTGTTCCGTGCTCTATGTGCTTACGGTTGTGCTCTGCAGACATTACATTCCAGCTGATTTATTCATGATAATTTATGGGGCTCTGTCACTTGCTAGAACTTCTCAGAGACGTGTTCCGTTCTCAGGTTGGTTTTGCATCTCAGCTGCTTGGACCTCACGGCCTTTTGATCTGGATAACTACACCAGTGCCAACTGCCTCTGTCCAGCCACTGCCACTGGAGGGAAGTGCACGGCTGGTTTCTATTGCCCCAAAGGGAGCCCAGAGCCTCTTCCTTGCCCTCCAGGGTTCTACTGCAGTGCCTCAGGTTAGTGTCTGTTTTGAGGAGAGTTAAAATAAAGGCAGTGTGGACAAGGAAATGTTCACCGTTTAACAACTTGTTAGAGGTCCCTAAAGCTGAATTCTGCTTCTGAGTAATAAGCCTTACTTTGCCCAGAATTTGCTGTGTGACCTTGAGCCTCTGTGGCCACGTTCCCATCTTCAGAGGCCCAATGTGAACATACATCATTATAGGTTCATAGACATGGAGGGTCAGGGTCTCCTGTCAGACTGCCCTGTATTCTCTGCAGGTGCTGGGATACTCCTGCTTCGTTTTGTCCCACTCCTTTTCTGTCTTTTCAGTATTCTTTCAGTATGTTAAATTGGAGCTGGTTTTATCCTGATAATTCCATAAAGCTGTGATGGTAGAGCAAGATGCCTTTGGTATCTCCAGAGGGAGGCTGGAAGTGGTTGTTTTTCCTGCTTTTCTCCCTTTATTTTAGTATTTTGAGCACCATTGTGCTCTCTGTCTTCCAGGTCTGTCTGTCCCCAGTGGGGAATGCAGTGCTGGGTTTTACTGTAAAGGTGGAGCAGCTCTCCCTAAACCAACAGATGGTGTGACTGGGAATATCTGCCCTGTAGGGACTTACTGCAGTAAGTATCCAGCAACAGTCAGGCCTAAAAATTTGATATCACATAATATCTGAAATACTGAAAATTTCATGTCGTGTAATACCTGAAACACTGATGGGTGATTTTGAGACCGTGGTGGCCAACTTGGGGTCTGACCAGAGTGCCTGAAGTCCCAGATTCTTTCCCTGGTTCTTCCCCTGGCCTGTTCTGTGAAAGTGATAAGTGACAAACTTGTCCCAATGCCCAAACTTGTCTGCCTTTAGAATGTAATTAGCATCACCTCTGTTTCCCTGGGTAAAACGAAGTTAATAATGTCTGTCCTCTCCCATGCAGCACTGTTTGATCTATGAGTGAAAAACAAAGACTTCACTAATACTGTTCCCATGCTGCTGTGTGCTCATCCAGCCCCTGAATGCAGCCATCTCATTTGTTCTTTCATCATTCATTTCTCTCTGCCTTGCTTCTGTTCTCGCAGCTGCAGCGTCAGCGGTACCCAAACTCTGCCCAGCTGGCACCTTTTCCAGCCTCCCAGGGAGGAGCAAGCTTTCCGAGTGCCAGCCTTGCCCCTCTGGCTTCTACTGCGAAGGACCTGGCCTCAGTGCCCCAACTGGAGAGTGCTGGGAAGGTAAATCACAAATAAACTGCACTGCAGGTTGACAGAGTCTCTGGGGACATGCTCAAAGGGGAGTGTGTTTGTGTGTATCGGATGGGATCAAAACAAATGTCTTTCCGCGAGTCACTGGTTTAGAGTGGAAAAGCCAAAGGTGGGAGATGAGACAGGAGTCGGAAAGGTGCTGTAGACTGTGCTGGCATCCAGAAAACAGGAGTTACATTTTTTCACAATATCGCAGTGTTATTCTGTGCATCCTCCTACTGGGGATGGCTGCTTTTTATTCATTCCTGAGCCTTCCCATGGATGGAAGTTTAGAGACTCGCTGCCTTGGTGGTTTCCTTCTCTTGACTGCGGAAGAACAATTTCTGGCTTCTGTGAAAAGGTCATTAGATGTTAAAGTAATTCAGGTATGAAAGCAGAAATGTTAACTTCTTTTGTGTTCTGGACAATTAAAATATTGGCAAGGGCAAAGTCGGATGTTCAGAGGGAAAACTTTGAGGGGTTTCAGTAACTGAAAGGAAACAGAACAGCGCTGTGTCCCTCAGTGTTTTCCTGTGCCACCTGTAAGTTTTCTCCTGTGTTCTGGGGATCACTGGGTGGCAAGTTTCCTCCTAAAGAGTGCAGCAAGTGAAAAGCTTTGGTGTGTATTTGTCCCAGCAGGAGTGTGATTCAGATCAATGGTAATTTAAGGTCAGCAGTAGATTTATTTTTTCCGTGAGGTGCTTTGTGTGCCTGGGAGAACCTGGTAGGAATCTTCTCTTTGCTTCTAATGAGCAGCACCTCAATAGCTGGTGTCTCCCAGTGACTAATTTAGCTTTCTTTGCTGTGTCTTCCCTGCAGGCTATTACTGTGACAGCCAGCAAGGGCCAGTTATTGATGTTACCCTTTACCCGTGCCCGCAAGGTTTTTACTGCCCACCAGGGACGAACAGGAGCACTCAGTACGCCTGCCCTGCAGGAACCTTTGGACCAAGGCAAAAACTGAAAACTCAAAAGGAATGTCAGAGATGCCCACCAGGAAAATACTGTGAATTCTCTGGACTTGCTGCCCCCACAGGTATATTGCTGTTGTTCTGAGCATATTTGCTGGTTCTACAGTCATGTCTATGGCTGGTGGCTCGTGCTGGGGATTGGAGTTTGGACTCCAGGGTTCTCATCTCAGCTAAGGTGAGCTGTCCCATTTTACTCATCAAAAACTTTCCATAAAACAAAAAGATTCTTTTTTTTCTAAGAAGTGAGAGAGGGACTACAGAAATGAGAATTCTATCTATGATACCTTGTCAAAAAATCCAATGGGGCATTTTCCGTGACTGTATTTCAATCTGTATTCTGAAGCTTGCATTTATGTGCCTATTATTTTAATATATTCATGTGTTTTGTATATGTTACTTTGTTTTCTAGGAGACTGTGCTGAGGGATTCTGGTGCAAAAGTGGTGCCCGAGTAAGAAACCCCCAAGATGGAGAATCAGGACTTCCTTGTCCTCCTGGTCATTATTGTCCTGAAGGTTGGGTGCTTTGCTAAAGCTTATTTTTTTTTAATTCATAGAGAGCATGAGGTGGCATTTCCTTACTCTGGTGCAATTATTTTGCCAGGCACTCTGCTTCCGTTGCAGTGCCCTCCTGGCACGTGGTCTGGCAGTGAAGGTAGAAGGAGTGTGCAGGAATGCCAGCCATGTCCTGGGGGGTATTACTGCAACAGCTCTGGGCAGAGGGCACCCTCAGGACACTGCAGCCCAGGGTAAGTAGGAAAGCATCACATTTATATCCTCTGTGTAAGGAGAGGTGTCCTACAAGGGGTCTTCTTTACCCTCTTGGAATAAAGAGTATTTTCCTGTGTTTGTGGCTGCAGGTACTACTGTGTCACTAGAGCCCAGACCCCAGTGCCCACTGATGGCCTCTCAGGAGCTCCGTGTCCAGTCAGTCACTTTTGTCCTCTTGGATCCGGGAGTCCAACCCCGTGCCCCCCTGGCTCCCACATGCCGCACACCCACGGAGAGCAGTGCTATCCTTGCCCGGTGGGTGAATTCTGTGTCTCTGGTGAGAAGCCACGGCCATGTCCCCAGGGTGAGTTATGGTTCCCACTTAACTGTCTAGTTTGTCTTCGATTTTCTAGAAGAGATTCTGATCTTTCCTTTCTTTTCCAGGTTATTTCTGTCCCAAGGGCACAGCTTTTCCGATTGCTTGTCCGGCTGGGTCCTATAACCCTTCCCAAAGGCAACCCAGCTGCCTCCCCTGTCCTGAAGGGTAAGAGTCAGACAGTGAGCTTAGCATTGTGTGTATACTAATATTATAATGTAACTATTGGAAATATACTAATATTATAATATAACTATTGGAAATTTTTTATCCAGTCATCGTGGAACACTGTGCGGTGGGAAAATTGCTTAATTTACTACTGAAAAGCACTTTGAATAGGAAGCAGAGCAACTATTGAGCTCTGTTAAGCAACACTGTATAATTGATTATGGGACCAGGCAAGGTCCTAAACCCAGGTACAGCTACCCTGGAAGGGAACTTAGATCAGAAGGCTGTTCAGAGCAAGGAAACCATTGGCACCATAGACGTTTTTTCACATCTGAAGTAATAGATGGTTCCCTTGGCAACAGGCTGGCAGGGGCCTGTTGAAAGGGAAGAGGATCTTGTGTATCACCTGATGCCGAGTCTGGTTTTTCCTTGGGGGATACATCTCCAATTACTGACTGTTTGGATTTGACCTTGTTTTACTTGTGCAAGTTGATGAATCACAGCCTGGATGTGTTATGACTCAAGTTAAGAAAATTATGTCTCTGTGGCTTTTGCAATTATGCCATCAATTTGGCATACGAGGAAACAACTAAGAATCTAGTAATATGCATAAATAGGTGTCTTTTGTGGTCAACACAGCACAGTGCAGCAGCCACATTAAACCAGCTAGTCTCACCATTAAGTCGTTATTTAGGTACTTGTGGACAGAATATTGCTAGAAAATGTGTTTTTTTAATGTCTTTTTTTTTTCCCCATCCTTTTTTTTTTTTTTTTTAATCTCTCTTTGGACCAGCTTCTTCTGCCCCAAGAATTCGTCTTCCTTTTTGGAGAACGAATGTTCAGCCGGCCACTACTGCCCTCCCGGTACTGCTTCTGCAACTCAGTTCCCGTGTCCTCAGGGGACTTACAACCCACAGCCTGGAAGCAGCCTGATGTCTCGCTGCACCCCCTGTGACCCAGGTAACCAGCAAATAAGCATCTCTCAGGCTGAGGACAGGAGAATGTATGAAAATGTGTCTTGAACATTCCTGACCTTCAGCGGATGAACTGTGTAAGGACACAGTTTGTTCTCCGAAGTCTCTTTCTCTTTTTTTTTCTGCTGGTACTAATGGCATTGTGTTGCTTTCTCAGGGCACTACTGTGCGCTTGCAGGGCAGCCACGCGTTACAGGACCCTGTTTGGCTGGGTTCTACTGCAGCGGAGGTGTTTCTAGTCCCACACCTACAGATGGTCTTCTGGGGAATGCATGCCCCAAGGGAAATTACTGTCCTCTGGGCTCTGCCTTTCCACAGCCGTGTCCTCCTGGTTATTATAGCAACTCAACTGGGAATACTGGGATTGAGGACTGTCTCCTGTGTGATGCAGGTACAGTATGGAAGGAAGGACTAATGAGATTCTTAGCCGGTCACCAGCATTTCTAGGGCTTCTGAGAAACTTTATGGTAGGCAATCATCATCTGCTTTCTTGGAGAGAGATGTTAAGCACAGCATAAAAAGACTGAATCTGCCGCTTTTCCACATAAGAGGATACTCACAGTGATGCACAAACTTCTGTGCTATGAGCTTCCCTTTCCACTAGATGCTTTTTTACTTAGAGATGAGCCAAATAGTGCTGTCTGTTTAGTTGTGTACACTCTATACTTGCCCAGTGAAAGCAACTCCAGAAGAACAGATGTGGGTGACATCAGACATGATGCTTCAGTGATTATTTCCTTGTTATGTACTTACTATTGTCCGTCTTGTGTGACCAATATCATTATGGTCCTTTTGTTGTCCCTCTTCAGGGTACTTCTGCAATGGGACTGGACTTGTGTCTCCAACTGGATTATGTGAGGCTGGATTCTACTGTAGTGGAGGAGCCATTTCTCCTAAGCCTCCCAGGGTAAGCTGTGCTGGTGATGTAAATAGTGTAAAATGTCATATCTGTGGAACTGAAGACCATAAGGTCACCTTATTGCCTCAGATTAAACCCTTCCTTACTACATGATCTTCTTGATCAGGTCCATCTGGTTTATTGATAGTGAAAGGGGTGGAGAGAGCAAAATACACCTGGCCTTTTTTCAGCTGTTACATCTAAAAGCTGACCAAAAATAGTTTTATCTTTGCATATTGATGCCGCAGAGCAGAGTGGAATGCCTTATCAGATTAAAATTACAGCTTTTAGGGAGTGCATGGGTTTGATTAGAATACTGCATCTGCCAGCCCTCCTCCTAGGCAAAATGCAATAAGAATTTTTAAAGATGATGACTTGATAAGACACGGGGTTTATGCCACAACTCTCTGCAGGCTATGGGTGAAGAAAGGGTGGTGTTGGCTTCCAAATGGCAGGCCCAGCAAGATTTGTTATGGGCAGAATTCTGATCCCTTATTTTGGAAAAGGGATAGGTGTGCAGCCTTAAGGACTGAGGGATGAGCACAGGATCCCTCAGTCTAATGTCAGTTCTCTTCACCGCTGGAATCTGACATAGATCTTTTTGCAAGGCCACCCTCGTGAGTTTGTAGACTGTAACTGTGGTGTTCTTCTTCAAAGACAACAGTCAGTGGGGGACCATGTCCACCTGGACACTACTGTGTGGTGGGGAGCACCAGAGCCCAGCCGTGCCCTGCAGGGAGTTACAGCCCATCTTGGAGCATGGCACAGTGTCTGGAGTGCCCAGAGGGCTTTTACTGCACAGTGGCTTCCACAAACTACACGGATTGCCCTGCAGGTGGGTCTGATGGCACCTACCCACTCATTCTGGGAAATTGTGTTTAAGAGATGAGCAGATACCCTTGTGGCTTTTTGGAGTAGATTTATCATTGGACTGGGTTGCACGAGGCATGAACCTCTTCCAGCCTCTTCCAGTGGACACATCAATCACCTTGGTCAAAGCAGTTTGCGATTCAGTTCCCATCTGATTGTGGAAAATGGTAAATCGAGCAAGCAGTTTTGACAGTAGACCTTTATCACACACTTTGAGATCTTCTCATTAAAAAACTGCATGCTATTAAAGCTATTGCTAATCCTCAGCCCTGATCAGCTTTGTTTTATGCAGCCAGTGTGACGTAGCTATTAGAGAGTAGTGCTAAATTGCATCCCATCGTAGCTTGGGATCAGTCCTCCTCAGAAAAAGATGAAGAGAATGCTGTGTCTGCAGGTTGAGGATTCTTCCCACACTATTACCAGCATTTGTTAACCTTTATGAAACCTGTCTTTTCTTTCCTAGGTCACTATTGCCCCAGGAATACACAGTTTGCCACACAGTATCCTTGTCCCCCTGGAACCTATAGTGAAGCTTTAAATATCTGGGATGCTTCCAAGTGCCAGCTGTGTCCTCCTGGAAGGGTCTGTTCCAAGCCGGGTTTAGCAAGACCAGATGGACTGTGCATGCCTGGATGGTTTTGTCCGCCTGGATCCACATCAAGCAAACCAGTGTTTCCTGGAAATTACACTGGTACGAAGGGAAACAATAAAGATGTGTGATGGTGATTATTATTGAGGAGGTGGTTATTACAGAGTCGTCACCCAAAGGGACTTGGCCAGGTTCAGGGTGGCAGACTTTCCCTTTTTACTTTCCTTGATTCAGTGCTCTGGGTCTGCCCTTCCTGAACTCTTTAGGTAAGATAGAGTGCTTGCAATTTTTATGTTTCAACTCAGTCTGTGTCTTTTCCGTTAGCAGGCATGGCAGCTTCAGCTTCTGGGTCTGTTGGGTTGTGCCAAGCAGGAACCTTTTGTCCTGCTGGTTCATTTCTTCCTCTGCCCTGCACTCCAGGTAGGAGAAGGCTCTTTCCTCCTGCACAAGTTTATTGGGTTGGGCTGGGTTTTTTATACATTTGTACTCTTTTCCCTTTTGCTAAGATCAGTGGGTGGTCCCGGTCTTGTGCTGTGACTGTTTGGTGCTGGCGTCTTTTAAATGATGTCCTTGCTTCTGCCCTCTGCTTCAGGTTTGTCCTGTGCAACTGCAGAGCTCGCAGCTCTGTCAGGTCCTTGCGAGGCTGGCTTCTACTGCACAGGGAGCTCCACGCTCCCAAACCCCATGGATGGAGCAGTGGGGAACATTTGTCCTCGAGGCCACTTTTGTCCTGCAGGGAGTTCTTCTCCATCTCCATGTCCCCCAGGTAGGTTTGATGGCAGCTGCTGCATGCTATTGTTTCTATTCCCAAAACCCAGAGAGCTGCTGAGCTTCTCCACGGCTGAGTCCATGCCTTTACGTTCCCCAAGGGACAACTGCTATCGACACAACAGCTCAGCCTCTAATCCAAGGCTGTTGTGTTGGAAACATCAGTCCAAAATGTGCATTCAAACAGTAATTGCCAAACTGCCTCTGGAGACTCTCTCTGTGGCCTCCACGCTGCCGGGGTGAGGGGGGAAGCTCTTTGTGGAGCCCTCCTGAAGGAAAGGTTACAAAGCCAAGCACAGATAAGAGCCTCTGCCACCCTCCTTGCACAGTGAGAGCTGTCCTTTAACATCACCGTTAATGAGACAAAGTGTTAAGCTGAATAAGAAAGACTGTAGAATATGTGTTTCTTTCCTGGGTAAAATCTGTAGTTACATTAAGCAAGTGACTGCACCAGAAATAAATGGGAATTCACCTCAGCCAGCACTCAGGACCACTGTCCCTCAGACCTCTCCTGTAAGGAGGGCTGTCATTTACTGTCCTAAGGGAGTGCTGGGGACTTCACTCCCTTTGAATTCCTTCCTAACCAACATCCTTTTATCATCTTCTGCAAGAGGTAGCTGGGGCTAGTGTAGCTGGAAAGCTACTGTGTGACCAGCTTGTGCTTCTCTCCGTAGCCACTTCCAGCAGCGTCTAGGATGAGGGGAGAATGTGCTTTTTGGTGGCTTTATATTTTCAGGCTCCTTTTTGGCTCATCGTGGTGGCCAGTCAGCACAGGACTGCCAGGCCTGCGTCCCAGGGAGGTTCTGTTCTCAGCGAGGTCAGAGCTCCCCGGAGGGCTTGTGTAAAGAAGGATGGTTTTGCCCAGAGGGCTCTGCATCAGGCCAGCATTCAGGTAGGAATCCAGGAGTTGTTCTTTACCTATAGGAGTTGCAGTGGCAAGATGATGTTAAACTCTGCCTTTACTTACAGTTTCAAGTTATGTTCAGAAATGGCTAGCTATGTAAATTAAAAAATGTTTGCTGAAAATTATTCCAAGCAACCCAGGTTAAGTAGTGGGTAATAGTATGTAAATACAGCAGGAAAAATAGGGGATCTTACCAAGGCAAAATATCCCAAGAGGAGTTTATTCCTTGTGATATTTTCACCTTTGGTAAAGCAATGCATTTAACAAAACCAGGGATTTTTTTGGTTCTTTATCTCATTAAATCTCGCTTTTATCTCATTAAATCTTCCAGATTTGTAGTGATGCTTCCTCTAATGGCAGCTGTTCAGGACATAAACAGAGCAGTGATGTTAGAAGTGTATTTCTTTTTTTGCTCCTAGACTATTTGTGTCCTGTGGGTCACTATTGCCCCACTGGCAGCCCAGAGCCCATACCGTGTCCCTCTGGAAAATATCAGGACCAGGCTGGTAAAAGCCACTGTGAAACTTGCCCAGTGGGAATGTAAGTGAAAGGGATTTTGCTCCTTCCTCTTGATGCTTTTCTTAGGAATTACCATCTGTATTTCCCTTTGCCTTAGGCTGCTCTGTCTCTTGTATCCTTTATTATAACAGGCTGGGTTTCGTGTTTCTGTTTTTGTATCACCTTTCCCTTTATTGTGTCATTTTCTGTGCTGCAACCCCTGTATCATAGAAAGTCCATCCTGGTAGGTCTGTCTGCTGGGATGGACAAAACAACCCTGAAAGGTTGCATCTCAGCTTCTCAGCTCTCCACTTGTTTCCTTTCAAGTAATTAGCTTTCTTTTTATTGTGTAGTCTCAGGCTGTCACTGTCATGCAGAAAGTGTTTCTTAATCTCTAGCAGAAGAGAAGGAGAGCATGGGCTGAGGCAAGACTTGGGGTTGGTTTTTTTTTTGGTAGGTTCTGTGCCCCAGAAGACCACCCAGCTGATCTCCAAGAGAACTTCTCACAAGGTGTGGTCAAACCAATAGAATGTCCAGCAGGATATTACTGCCCATCGGGAACAAGAGCTGCCAATCAGTACCCGTGCCCAGAGGGCACCTACAGTAACCAAACTGGAGTGGGAAATCCCAGGGAGTGCAAGCCTTGTCCTGGAAGCACGTTTTGTGCCAGTGCAGGTAGGAATCACCTGTGGATTAAATACAAATCTAGGATGTTTTGTATCTAGGAGAACCAAAAAGTTCCATCAGCTTCTGTCTGGAGTTCATGTGACTTCTAAGAAGCATTTGAAGTGGTCTCTGGCACCCCTTGAGTAGAGATTCTTTGTGATTATTTTAAAGATTTTACAAGCTGTCTTTTGTAACGTTTTAATTAGAGGTAGATTAAGGCGTTTTTGTTCTAGCAAAGGTTATGAAACCAAAAGCCAAGCAGCGTGGATTCTAGGACTTCTCATGGTTGTCTCTTAGTGGAAAGAGGGGTGCTGATCAGCCCCGTCTGTAAAGGTGATGGAGAAAACTGTTTAGGCCTTTATCTGGTTATGAGTTGTGTAAGTAAATACGGAGACTGTAAATGGAGCTTTTAAGTAACAGAGCTAGTCACAGGCCAGTAGACTCTGAGATCATTGTGATGACAAGGTTTGTCTGGTTTGTTTAGTGCAGAAGCTGTGATTTCTGTAATGCCACCGGCTTATTTGAATTTATGTTCTTTTTCTTTAGGACTCTCGTCCCCAAGCGGTCCTTGTTTGCCTGGGTATTACTGCACTTCGAAGGCCCGTATACCCAATCCTGTCAATGATGAGACGGGCAGCCTTTGCCCAGCAGGCTGTTACTGCCCACCTGGCAGCAGCAAGCCAGAGCTATGTCCCACTGGCACGTTCTTACCTCAGTCTGGGATGGTTTACCGTAACTCCTGTCTGCCCTGCCCTGGGGGGAAGTTCTGCCAAGGAGAAGGCCTGGCCAGGGTTTCTGGTGTGTATTACATGCATTTAACATCTTTTTTGTCTCCTACTTTGAACTTTTTTATGTTTTCTGGTTGCTTAAACGTAATGCTGAAGCTTTTCTTTCTCGCAGGAACATGTTACGCCGGGTATTTCTGTGATCTTGGATCCACACAGCCGGATCATAAGCATTGCCCCCCTGGCTTCTACTGTCCCGAAGGCTCTGAATCCCCGATCCCATGCAGCCCTGGAACCTTCAACTCCAAGAGTGGAAAATGGCAGTCGACAGACTGTCAGCTCTGCCCAGCTGGATACTTCTGCACTGGTGAGTCTCTGCTGGTGTGTTTGGCAACTGGGGGTTGCACAATGCAAGTCAAGACACCCACTACAGCTTTATTTCTTACAAGCTTGTCCTTAGCAGATACAGGAAGAACAAACTCAGTAAGTGCCTCACATCACCTTTGGTCAGTGACAGTTTCTGCAGGATGTGCACTAAATATAAATGCTGCAAATCATTTGTCTTCCCCAACTCCTGTTGGGTTATCAGTAGCAGTCTCAGGTCACCCATAACAATTCTTGCTATTATACCTTCTTTCTTCCTTGACTCAGCCACCTCTTCTAGATGTCTCATATGTCTTCCACCTCTCAGGGGAACAAAATATCCTGGCAAACAAGTGCTTGGCACTGGTTAGCAGCCGGGGTCTCTGCTCTCAGACAGCTGCTCCTTCTCAGAGGTTCTCACCATCTGTCTGTACAAGATGTTTATTTGCTCCCCCCAGCACTGAAATATTTGCGGTCACGCTGACAGTAACAGAGTGACCCATCACCTTCCATGAGACAAAGAGGGTTTTTCTTTCTCAGGTGAGGAACTGAAGCAACAGGGAGGAAATGACTGAGCTAACATGAGTCTGTAGCAGAGCTGGGACCACATCTGAGAGCCTCAGAAACACAGTTGAGCATTTTATTTGGAAGATAGGGGTTTCTATTGTCTTTGATCTAGCCAAGGAACAGGAAAGGCTTTCTTTTGTTGTTGTGGGGCTGGGCAAAACCAATTCTGAAGTACCATGTTCTTCAAGCTACCACTGCCCACCTGGCCAGGCTGCCGTCTGTTCCCCATCACTGTCCACAAGGCTTTTAGTGCCCCATGGGATCTGCTTTTCCTGTGAGAATGGGACATATCAGTCACAGGAGAGGAAGGACTTCTGGGATCCCAGCCCAGCAGGACTCTTCTGGGAACAACCTGACAAAAGTTAGGAGTCTGGAGTATTGTGATAAAAAGGGTTTCCCTGTCACTAAGGGCTGAGTCTTCCTGTTAGATTTAGTGGAACAAAAAAGGGTTTTGAATGGCATCAGTTAAGGTTCTACTAAGTCAATATTACATGGATTGGACTGGACAGCGAGGTAGATCAGTTTCTGCTAAGAATGGAAGTCAAAGCAGATTTCAAAGAAAATGAGGTTGTAGGAGAAGAAATAGGCTGAAGCCAAATCTTTCCCCTCTCTGGGAAAAACTCCATTCCCAGGAAAATACAAATAACAAAGATATTTCTGTGTGGCAGCTCATGCAGGCAACAAAAACGCCCAAGAAATATGGCTGCACAGGTGGGATTGGACTCCCTAGATGGGATTACTCTAGTAGGCATCTCCTTTCTTAGACGTCTGTATCCAAGCTAGTTTTCTCTACTCCCTCTGTACTTAGTGGAGAGAAAGAGGCACTTCTGAGGTGCAATTTATCTTTTTCATTTTAGATGTCTGCTTTCGGATGAGATGAATTGCATTTGAAGTACATTTCCTCTGGAAGTGCTCTTTCTCTCCAATTACTGCAACGGGAATCTGAACAGCTAAATAAGTACGCGGGATGAATCCAGTGTCCTGCGTGTAGCTGAACGCACAGGGGAGGAGGGGTGCCTGTGTTGACAGAGAATGACATTGCCTGTCACCTCTCATAATATCTCCTACTCAATTCTTTGTATGCTAGGTTCTGGAGCACGTACTCCTGAGCTGTGTCCTGCTGGGTACTTCTGTCTGCCAGGTACCAACTTCAGTACAGAGCATCTGTGTCCCAAGGGTACCTTTGGCCCCAGGACTGGTGCCACTGGCGAGTCTGACTGTGAGCCCTGCCCAGCAGGTGAGTGAGGACTTGGCACAAGAAACCCAGGGGACGTACATGGGAAGGCTGAGGAAAATATGACTTCTTCCTTCATGTTATTGACTCCTCCGCTGATCTTCTGTGCAGGCCTTCACACTGAGATAGGTTTTCTGTTTGTTTTAGGCATGTATTGCTCAGCACCAGGTCTGTCACAGCCTTCTGGATTTTGCTATTCAGGTTATCATTGTGCCAAGGGAGCCATCAGCCCAGCGCCCTTCAGACCCAGGGTGAGTGAGTGCCAGGGGGCAGCACAGCATTCCTAGTGACTCCTAGGGACAAGGACTGGACCTTCACAACGTTTTCCAAGCATTACTGCTCTGTATGGGGTTGCTCATGCCTTTTACTGCTGCCCTAGAGAGCTCCTCAAATGCGATGACATGCTCCTCTTAATGTCTGATGGAATATGTTGCTGCCTACTAATAAATTCTGGCCAGACCTCCATTTCTGTAGATTGCACCTCCAAAAGATGGCATCAGGGATAAGGTAGTCACACCTCAGCAGCCAGTACCTTTTTTATTCCAGCCGTGGTTGGAATAAAATTAAGTTTCAGTGGCAGCAAACTTGTAGGACTCGGCTCTTATGTGTCCTTTCCAGAACCTGCCTCTGTAGTACATTGTGCTAAATCTTCTTTCAATAACACTTTTTCTCTCCTTCTCTGTATTTTTCTGATACAGGTGGAATCTTCCAGCCTTGATCTGCCTAGTAATGACATCTGTCCTGCGGGGCATTTCTGCCCCAGTGGTACTGGGTATCCTGTGCCCTGTCCTCCTGGATCCTTCTCTACGGTGGTGGGCCTGGAGGCAGAGGAGCAGTGCCAGCCCTGCCCGGCCGGACGGTATTGCAGCGGGGCAGGATTGTCTGATCTGGCCCAGACATCGCTGTGTAACGCAGGGTGCGGTGAGACAGTCACTCAGGAGTGGGAAAATAGAGCTACAGCAGGATTGCTACAGGTTATAGTAGAGGGACATCCAAACTAGAAGATACTGGGCCTGAATATTTCTTGTTGAATGCCTTGTGTGCAAAGATTAATAAAACCTTGAAGACTTTGTTCTTGGCTCTTTGGGTCAGCTATACAGCATCTACTTGGTGACCTCAGTGGGTGTTTCTGAGCTATTCCTTTTCCCTTTCTGTTTGCCTGACATTCTGTTTCAGCCTTATACATGTATTTTCACTGTTTTCACCATAGGTTTAGTGTATTATCAATCCCTTCTTTAGCCTCAACATCACACTTGCTGAAAAATTGACCTGCACGTCCTTTTTTTCCTTCTGTGTTTTATCTCTTTTCCCACGAGGTGGTGCAATAACCAGGGACAAGGTGGCAGGTCCAGCCTGCCTGATAGCGAGCAGCAGCGACACTTGTCTGCCTCATGAGAATGCCTGATAGCAAGAGGCTACAGGAGCTCGGTTTATTTCATCTGTGAAAGACAATCTTAGAAGAGATTTCGCTGTAGCGTAACGAGATTTCGTAGGGAATGATTTCTGCTACCAGATGGCTCTTGAATCTAGTGGAAAAAATCATAACGAAATTTAGCTAGAAGTAGAAGCTGAGCTCAGAATACAAGTGAGGGCTCCATTTGGAATGACTAAAAATAATTAGCCATGGAAACAGACTTCTTGGGAATAAGAGGGATTTGTCGAATTTTAAGACTTCCCAAAAATTTCTTTAGCCCTAGAGAGATGTTACAGCCTGGCTGTAAGGTTTTCTGGGCAGGGTGGTAGTGAATATTACACAATTATAAATGACCCTCGACTTCCAAAATCACTGAAGTTCTTGCCCTCCAACAGGGTACAATTTGTGCTTTGACCAGGTTGATTTTCAACACCTTTACCATGTAGCCTCCATCATTTCTCATAGCCTGCAGTTCAGTCAAAATAGATCTTGCTTCCAGGCAAAAAAACCGCAGTTTTGGTGTTCTTTTGTTCAGTGCTGCTTCTGTTGCACTTAATCATTTGCCACAAGGACTAGGAATTGTTTATTCTTCAGAAACTTCATCCTTTGAATCCTTGTCTACAGCATGTGCTCTCGTTTCCTTGTTGCTTAGCTCTTATCACCCCTAATATTTTTCATTTTTTCTCACCTTTACTTGTTTGGAGGGTGTGGGAGGGAAGAGGTAAAGGCAAGAGTTAATGATGGCATTAAAGCAAGAGGCCTACAAAAAGACTGAGGATAAAAGGAAGCAAAGCAAAGACGGCAGGAAATGAACACTTGGGCCCTGTGCTTTGAAGTGAAAAAAAAAATCTTTAACTTTGAAAGGCTTTTTATTCCAGAATTAGAACACTTTCTAGTCAGCTTAGTCCAAAATAGCCTTTTACCAGGATTTTCAGGTGGGCACTGAATTACAGATGCAAGGGGGAAGCTATCAGCACAACTGGAATAAACTGCTTTTTCAAGGGATGTTTCTTAATGTGCTGACCCTTGGTTCTTGATTAGTGTCCCCCACACACACTTTTGGCCTCTGAAAAGGGCTTATTGTTTCATGTCTGAATTCTCTCTCTACAGGTATGTTTGTCTAGAAGGAAACTCTGCTCCCTGCCCTTCTGATGGGATTCATGGATACAGATGTCCCGGTGGCTTCTACTGCCCTGCGGGCACTGTGCTGGAGCTGCCCTGCGAGCCTGGCACGTTCAGCCCTGTGCCGGGGTCAAGTGTCTGCCTGCCTTGCCCAGCTGGCATGGTCTGCAGCAACGCTGCCACTGTCGAGCCACTCAGCTGTCCCAGAGGTGAGCAGTAGGTGTGTGTGGCAAAATCCCTGGCATGGGAATGGGAAGAGGTGCCATGGATCCCTGCACAACTCTTTCTGGCTGAGCCGTAGCAGAGTGGTTCACCCTAGGGAATGGGGAACTTGCCATGAGTTAGAATTTGCAAGCTCAGCATTCCCACCTCTCTCTCCTTTCTTTTTTGTGCAGTGTCTCATTCACCTCTCTCAATGTCCAGGTTACTACTGTCCGGTTGGGACTGCTGTCCCCCTGCCGTGTCCCGAGGGGACGCTGAACGCCTTGGAGGGGGCACCGGCCCCCACCGCCTGCAGGCTGTGCCCCGCGGGGAGGTACTGCAGAGGAGATGCGAACTGGGAACCTGATGGTGAGTTTGGTTGATAACAGAGCACTCACAGCGGAGGGGTTGGAGGTGCAGGGCTGAAGGATGCAGGGAAGTGGAGAACGTACCTCAGGGAACAGATTAAAGGCTATTGGAGGGCACCCTTCTGCCCTGTGTCTGGGCCTGTCAATCATTTATTTTCTCTGTTTCATTCTTTTAACTGAGTGTTTGTCTTGGATGTTACTTTTATGTTACTGCTTTACTTTCTTTGTCTCCCTTAGTTTTTTCCACTTTCGTTTTCTTTACTTTTAACCCTTGTATTGCTCTTCTTTCTGTCCTTCTAAGTCCTCCTCCTCCCATTTAAGCAAAGAGTAATTTTCACTGGGCTAAAATGCGAAGATTGGCCACATGAAAAGAAGAAAGGCAGAACTTTTTCCACAGTAAACAACATATAGGGAACCAGTTAGAGAAGTGAGAAAGTGAGTAAATGCCAAATGAGGTCAGCGCAAGTAAAGATAGGAAGTGATAAAGGCCAAAGATTGATGGGGAGGAGGGAAGGCAAAAAGGGTGATTGGCCCAGGATTATCAGCAGTGATAAAACAGGACAAGGACGTGCTTCAGCGTCTCTTCTCTGAGTTATCTGCCTGCTTCTAAGAGGTTGAGGAGGTGCCTCTTTACTGACCATGGTGCTATGGGCTGGCAATTGCCACCCTCTGTTCTCCTGTGACAGGTCTGTGTTCAGCTGGGTACTACTGTGAAGGAGGAGCCACTGATGTCATTCCCCGAGGGACACCTGCCTTCCCACTCAATGGGCCCTGCCCACTTGGGCACTATTGTCCAGAGGGTACTCATTTCCCAATTGCCTGCCCAGCTGGGACCCTGAACAATGCCACAGGTGAGCAGGACTTTACCCGCAGGTTTCTCCTGTGGTCCACAGTGATGAGGAACTTCATTGCTGCTTGTCATGGTGAGGGGGTGGCCTGATGGTGACAATGTGTTATCAATTGAAATAAGCGCTGATGGTGCTGTGACTGTACTGGGTGTCCTTCCATCTCCCCCTGTCACTGGCCTTGACTTTTGGTTCCCTCCTCAGGTGGTACGTCCCCGGAGAGCTGTGTGCCATGCCATCCTGGGTCTTTCTGTGCTGGCACTGGTTTGAGTTCTCCAACAGGACCTTGTACTGAGGGGTTTTACTGCCCGGCAAACTTCAGCTCCATCAGCCCCACGGCTTTCCTCTGCCCTAAGGTATTGCTTAGTGACAGCGGGGCAGTGAAAGAGGTGGGTCTCAGCTCTGGGCAGGAGGTGTTGGTTTTCCACAGTGGCAAAGGATCGAACATGCCTCATTGAAATGTTGATTACATCCACACGGAGTGTTGGCCGAGGCTTTGGTAATTCTGGGATTCACTCTTTACACAGACCCTGAGTTTTTCACCATCTCCCTGCAATCCTCTTCCTTCTCTGTCATTGCCAGGGTCACTTCTGCCAGACAGGGGCAGCCCTCCCCATGCCGTGCCCTGCTGGGGAATACCAGCCGGCCAGGGGCTCTGCATCCTGTGTTCCGTGCCAGAGAGGATTCTACTGCCAGGAGCCAGTGGCAGGAGACCCCAAGCGCTGCCCACCACATTCTTACTGTCCTACAGGTACACTTCCATACCAGCTATGCCAGGGATTCAAATGTCGTGTGTTCTCACTGTGATCCCAGACTTGTACAAACCTTATGTGTGTCTTACTGTAGGCCAGGTGAGGAGGAGGTGGCAATGAGCAAATGTGGCTTAGTTGCTGCCTTGCTTTCTGGGAGTCATCTGTCATGCTCTGATACACTTCTAGAGTTTTGTCAGATCACAACAGTCCTCCTGGAGTTTTTGATTGTCTCTGCTGTCTCCCTTTCAGGCACATGGGTTCCTCTCACGTGTCCTGAAGGCACCTTCACTCCTGCAAACATGACTGGCCTCTGGAACGAGGAGGAATGCCTGCCTTGCTTACCCGGTCACTACTGCAGGTCATGATTCATTTCAATCTGCCAGTTTTTCACTTTGTCTTAAGCAGTTTGACATTCTTATTTTGTCCTGATAAGTCAATGCTAAGTTCTGCCCAGCTCCTCTACCACGTCTTTCTCATTCAAAGAAAAGAAATAGAAGCTTAGATACAGCTTTTGGGTACAAAAGGTGTTAGATCTCTAGTAATCTACATGTTTTTATAAGAGGAAAAAATGTGTCTATTATCTCCCTCATATTGGTGTAAGTTGTTCTTATTTTTTGTTGCAGACTTTGCAGAGTTCATTTCATCAATTCTTGCTCTGCTTCTGCACCAAATCGTTAGCAGCAGGTTGTATGTCAATTCTTCCTGTCCCCTCTGCTCCAGGCACGGACGGCTGGAGGGGAAGTGTGCTGCTGGATATTTCTGCTTTGCTGGGAGCTCTCAATCTGCTCCCCAGGGCCACAGCTTTTCCTGGCGCTTCCTCTCTGGGTGCCGCTGGGGTCAGGCTTGTGCAGGGCTGTGTCCTGCAGGTAAGTGGGAATCTCAATAGTTTTTCAAGTATAGAATATTGATTTGCTTCTAAGCAACTGGAGAGCATCTTTTATCTTGCATAATATATTATAATCCCTTCTTTGAAATCGTCATTGCTCGTTAGTTTCCTCTGTTTTTCCTTCTTTTGAACAAAGGGGTGCCTGACCAAAAAGGCCACCGTGAATTTATGGTGCTAGACTACTGGTCCAGAAAACTTTGAAGGCTGTTGGTTTGGCTGTTGGATCCCAACAGCTGCATAGATATTCATTCTACAACAACAGGAGGCTCCTGCTGAGTCATTTTTGCCATCAGAGGGTTTTCATATTTTACTTTCATCTCTTTCCCATCCATTTCTGTAGGTTTCTACTGCCCAGAGGGATCTGAGGTACCTATACCATGTCCTGCCAATACTATTAGAGATGTTCCAGGGGCTGTGAAGAGGGAGGACTGCCTGCCCTGTCCAGCTGGACACTGGTGCAAAGCAGGTTGGAACTTGGGGGTGAACAGCGAGGGGAGGGAACGAGAGTTGCTTTTCAGGAGGTTTCTATGTATCCCTGAGTCTGGCAAGTCCGGCTTTGACACCAGATAAGCATTGTGGAACAGTCCTTGCAGTAGAACACTCTCTCTAGGGATAAGTTCTAGTCTCTGCAGAGAAGAGAGACATTTAACACTCAGTATAATGTGTAGGAAGGACCTAGGGAGGACACAGAACGAAGGTGTTCCAATTACAATGAAAAGATGACTCTTTAAAGCCCTGCTTTCTGCTTGTTAGGGGCTTCAGAGGCCTATCCATGTCCATCCGGACATTATTGCTTTGGAGCCAATGGCAGCGACCACAGTAGTGTCCTGGCACCTCAGAAATGCCCGCCACAAACTTACCGCAAGTACCCAGGAGCTCAGAGCCTGACAGATTGCCAGCCATGTCCTCCAGGCTATCGCTGCCCATTATCAGGCAAGTGCCAGGTGAAAGCCAGCCCTTTCCCATCTCTAGAGCTCATTACAAAACTCTCCAAGATGAGGTGGGGAAAGGGAGAGGTAACTCATGTTCACAACGAGCTAAGAGCCCTTCTCTAAAGTCCCTCCTGGCCATTCAACCTTCCTTTCTTCATTCATTTCTCTTCCTAACAGGTCTGACCAGGTTTGAGGATTATCCATGCCCCCCTGGATACTGGTGCCCTGGTAAAGGGGATGCGTTCCTTTGTCCAGCTGGCACTTCCAGGATCCGGCCTGGTGCAAAATCATTGGAAGAGTGTGATCCCTGCTCACCTGGATACTATTGCCCGGATCCAGCACAGACAGGGCTGCCTAACACCCAAGGAGTGCCTTGTAAACCTGGCTACGAATGCCCAGCAGGTGACGTGACAGTGCTCCTTTGTTTTCTTTCTTTCCAGCCATTTCTGAGTGTAGATGGCTGAACAGTGTGCAGCAGGCACAGCCATGGCAATTAGCAATGACTACAATCCTATTCTTCTAGCAGCCCTCTTAGGACATGGTCACTGATGGAGTGGCTTTGGAAGTGGATTTATTCCCCTGAATCCCTTTCCTGGCTTTTGGCCTTTGAATTCCCATCTCCAGTTTTTCAGCCCTCCCTTCCTGTTCTCCTTTAGCTGAGGTTCCCAAAGGAAGTGATCTGGGCCTAGAAAAGGAGCAGATCTCTCTCATCATCCAGGGCTAGGCAGTGAGGTATTAGCATTTCGTGCTTAATAGCAAACTGGTTCCCAACAGATCTGTGCCCTTTTATGAGCAATAGGAAAAGCACAGTGTTTATGGACAGTCACACTTAATAAAGCCCTCTTGCTTACTGTTTCCTCAATGCATACCCTTCTGGCCTGGGAATGTAACGTACTCACTATTTTCCTGTTTTTCCACCAGGTTCAGTAAATCCAAAGCCTTGCAGGCCTGGCTTATACTGTGGTGCTCACACGGCCGTGCCTTCCGTGTGCCCTGCCGGGTATTACTGTCCTGAAGGATCGTCAACATACAACAGCCCTGAGCAGCTGTGAGTACCTAGAATGTTCGGTGCAGCCGGCTTTAAGTTTCTAAGAACTCTGATTATTGTGAAATGTGATAAAACCCGAGCTAAGGCTTCAGCCACAGTCTTTGTGCATTGTGCAAAAGCAAAGGTGTCTTTGTAATTACAGTTATGGGTTTGGTGACTGCTAAGACAGAAGAGGGTGATCTGTGATTTCTACTATTTAGCTTGAGCCTGGAACCCGATGAGAACCATTTTTAATTTTGCCCTCTGGTCATTGAATCCAGAAATCAAAACATTTTGAGAGACTTTCTTCCCTCTTCCTCCCTTGTTTTGCCTTCCAGGTGTGTGTTTCCCTACTACTGTCCCCCAGGCAGTGCCCATCCACTGCCTTGTGAAGGAGGGTACATGGCCCTCAACTTGCCTGGTCCAAGGGATTCATTTGAGAAATTCTGCAGAATCTGTGATGCAGGCACCTACCGTAGTGACTCCCTTATCACGGCGCCCTGTCAGCCCTGCCCAGCAGGCTTCATCTGCCCACAAGGTAAATAGAGCTGCTATGGGAGGAGTGGGGCAAGAAATAGCAGCTTAAATCATAACCAGAAAGTTTTATGTGGGAAAAGCTCCCAATCCTCTGCAGTTATAAATCCCTGGTGTGGGCTGTCACATTCGTTTCCAGACCATTTGGTGTGGGAGGTTTTGAGAGTTTAGAGAAATGGGTCAAGAGTGGTTTGGATGTTGGTGTCCTGTCTCTCAGACCCTCGCAAGTCCTGTTTTCTGTAATTCTGTGACTTAGCTGAGAGGCCCATAGTTAGTGTATCACCAGATAACACCTTAACACCTTTGTTAAGGTCACTGAGGTGTTCACTCCTGCTGTAGAGCGTGGAGGAGATCAGGTCTACCCACTATTCGCCTCTGGATTTTTCCAGTGAAACAGCTGGGATAAAGAAATCAAGATTTATATTTAAATATAAATAAATTACATTGAAAAATGCTGAACGTTGATTAACTTTATATATACATATTTGTTTGTTTATACATACACTTATATGGGTCTGTGTATATGCGTAACTGGGATAAATAAGTGGTCTCTGCCTGTCCCTTAGCACTTGCTCAGGTCCATGAGCAGTGTTTGTGTCTGAGACAGCCCATCGCTTTCTCTAGGCAGTGAGAGTTACCACAAGAAGCCTTGCCCCAGTGGCCATTACTGCCCTCCCCTGGCATCTGCCCCTCTGCCCTGTCCCCCGGGAACCCACGGGAGCAGCACCTTCGCGAAGCACTTAGAGGATTGCCAGCCCTGTCCTGCCGGTACCTTCAACCATCTTCCTGCTCAGGCTGCCTGTTTCCCCTGCGGCAGCTCTTCTTCCTCCCAGCCTGGTGAGCTGCTGTTTGTGAGTGAAACTTTCACCTCTGTTAAGAGAAAGACTAAAAAGGAAATCGCATAGAAATGTGATTTCCCCACGTGTTTTCACAATGGACCACAAGCCCTGCGTTCCTCACGATGTGTGTGCTACCAGTGCCCAGCTACTCTTCCTTTGTGCCACACAGAAGGAGGATTCCATTTTCAAAGCTGTCTTTTGTTGTCTCACACTGTTAGCCGAGGGGATTTGATCTCGGCTTCTTCAAAGGAAGGAAAAGATAAGCAGCCCTACTAATTCTTGCTCTGTCATTGTTTTGAAAGCAGTGGAGTTTCCCTGAGAGTACTTTTGCCTTGAATTAGGGATCTTGCATTAGGTGTAGGTGTGCTTTTGAGCCAAAATGTCCAGCCTGGGCCAGATAAAGTGGGAAAAGGCTAGAAAAGTGGAAGGTAGGTGGCTAAGCACAGAATGGAGTGCATATGTCTTACTCAATGTACTCTGCATTTCAAATCAAGTGGATTTGAGAGTGTTGAGGCACAAGAGAGGGGCTTGGCAGCCTTGATTGACTGGGTCCTTGCCCTGTCCGGTGGCTTAATGTTCAAATTAATGGAGTGCTTGTCAAAATGCCACTGCGGCAAACGACCAGCTGGGCCTTTCTGCATCTCTTATTAAATGGACACTTCAGGAAATGGTCTAATCATTGTGTTGGTAGAGCAGAAGGCAGGCTGGCTCCAGCTGCCTTTCATGTTGGCTCAGCGCTGCTGTGCTAGTGGGGCAGGAGGAGTGTCACTAAAACGAGCAGTGTGATTTGATTAAAGAGTATTCCACACGGGAACTGCTCCTTTGCGATGAGAGCAGCTTTTGTGAACCATATTCCCTACCCTGATTACCACTCGAAATCCATCCTCTTCTCTAAGGTGCTACCAGCTGTACCTGCCGTGGGCTGAACCGGGCTTTCCAGCAGTCAGATGCCTCCTGTATCTGCCAGGCTGGGTACGTTTACTACGATGAGAGAGGCAAGAAAGACCCTGATGGCAACAGCGATCAGGACTGCCGACCTCAGGTAAAGCCTGGCTTCAAAACAAAGTTGTGTGACCCACACAAAAGGAGGAGTAGTTGAGTGCTCCAGGCCTTGTCTCAGGATGTGTACATCTCTGAGCTCGGTTCTCTGGGCTTCTGCAGACACAAGCAAATCCTTTAATTGTTTTGTTTGAGAGGCTTTACCATTCCGTGTAGGATAATGGCATTGTCTTCCTTACCAGAGTCTTGGGAAGTGAAATTCATAAGGACTGGAGGCAAACGATGCTTCCATGTTACAGCAATGGGGAGCAGCCAAGTGCCTCAGGAATTTAAGCCTTCATATTGTTACTATGGAGTTCTTCTTTAGATTTGCTTGAGGAGTTTGGATGGAAAATGAAATTGTTGTTATCTTTCTTCAATACTTTCCAAGTTATCCTTGTTGGATTTCCTTTACATTGAATGTCAGCGGTGTGGGTGGGGGAGGAAGAGAATTTGAGGCATGCTGCATCTCTGTTAAGTGCTAGAGCTTGTCTGGTTTCACGCGTTGGATGAGTGTCATTAAGCTCTCAATCTGCTCCCCAGGGCCACAGCTTTTCCTGGCGCTTCCTCTCTGGGTGCCGCTGGGGTCAGGCTTGTGCAGGGCTGTGTCCTGCAGGTAAGTGGGAATCTCAATAGTTTTTCAAGTATAGAATATTGATTTGCTTCTAAGCAACTGGAGAGCATCTTTTATCTTGCATAATATATTATAATCCCTTCTTTGAAATCGTCATTGCTCGTTAGTTTCCTCTGTTTTTCCTTCTTTTGAACAAAGGGGTGCCTGACCAAAAAGGCCACCGTGAATTTATGGTGCTAGACTACTGGTCCAGAAAACTTTGAAGGCTGTTGGTTTGGCTGTTGGATCCCAACAGCTGCATAGATATTCATTCTACAACAACAGGAGGCTCCTGCTGAGTCATTTTTGCCATCAGAGGGTTTTCATATTTTACTTTCATCTCTTTCCCATCCATTTCTGTAGGTTTCTACTGCCCAGAGGGATCTGAGGTACCTATACCATGTCCTGCCAATACTATTAGAGATGTTCCAGGGGCTGTGAAGAGGGAGGACTGCCTGCCCTGTCCAGCTGGACACTGGTGCAAAGCAGGTTGGAACTTGGGGGTGAACAGCGAGGGGAGGGAACGAGAGTTGCTTTTCAGGAGGTTTCTATGTATCCCTGAGTCTGGCAAGTCCGGCTTTGACACCAGATAAGCATTGTGGAACAGTCCTTGCAGTAGAACACTCTCTCTAGGGATAAGTTCTAGTCTCTGCAGAGAAGAGAGACATTTAACACTCAGTATAATGTGTAGGAAGGACCTAGGGAGGACACAGAACGAAGGTGTTCCAATTACAATGAAAAGATGACTCTTTAAAGCCCTGCTTTCTGCTTGTTAGGGGCTTCAGAGGCCTATCCATGTCCATCCGGACATTATTGCTTTGGAGCCAATGGCAGCGACCACAGTAGTGTCCTGGCACCTCAGAAATGCCCGCCACAAACTTACCGCAAGTACCCAGGAGCTCAGAGCCTGACAGATTGCCAGCCATGTCCTCCAGGCTATCGCTGCCCATTATCAGGCAAGTGCCAGGTGAAAGCCAGCCCTTTCCCATCTCTAGAGCTCATTACAAAACTCTCCAAGATGAGGTGGGGAAAGGGAGAGGTAACTCATGTTCACAACGAGCTAAGAGCCCTTCTCTAAAGTCCCTCCTGGCCATTCAACCTTCCTTTCTTCATTCATTTCTCTTCCTAACAGGTCTGACCAGGTTTGAGGATTATCCATGCCCCCCTGGATACTGGTGCCCTGGTAAAGGGGATGCGTTCCTTTGTCCAGCTGGCACTTCCAGGATCCGGCCTGGTGCAAAATCATTGGAAGAGTGTGATCCCTGCTCACCTGGATACTATTGCCCGGATCCAGCACAGACAGGGCTGCCTAACACCCAAGGAGTGCCTTGTAAACCTGGCTACGAATGCCCAGCAGGTGACGTGACAGTGCTCCTTTGTTTTCTTTCTTTCCAGCCATTTCTGAGTGTAGATGGCTGAACAGTGTGCAGCAGGCACAGCCATGGCAATTAGCAATGACTACAATCCTATTCTTCTAGCAGCCCTCTTAGGACATGGTCACTGATGGAGTGGCTTTGGAAGTGGATTTATTCCCCTGAATCCCTTTCCTGGCTTTTGGCCTTTGAATTCCCATCTCCAGTTTTTCAGCCCTCCTTTCCTGTTCTCCTTTAGCCGAGGTTCCCAAAGGAAGTGATCTGGGCCTAGAAAAGGAGCAGATCTCTCTCATCATCCAGGGCTAGGCAGTGAGGTATTAGCATTTCGTGCTTAATAGCAAACTGGTTCCCAACAGATCTGTGCCCTTTTTTGAGCAATAGGAAAAGCACAGTGTTTATGGACAGTCACACTTAATAAAGCCCTCTTGCTTACTGTTTCCTCAATGCATACCCTTCTGGCCTGGGAATGTAACGTACTCACTATTTTCCTGTTTTTCCACCAGGTTCAGTAAATCCAAAGCCTTGCAGGCCTGGCTTATACTGTGGTGCTCACACGGCCGTGCCTTCCGTGTGCCCTGCCGGGTATTACTGTCCTGAAGGATCGTCAACATACAACAGCCCTGAGCAGCTGTGAGTACCTAGAATGTTCGGTGCAGCCGGCTTTAAGTTTCTAAGAACTCTGATTATTGTGAAATGTGATAAAACCCGAGCTAAGGCTTCAGCCACAGTCTTTGTGCATTGTGCAAAAGCAAAGGTGTCTTTGTAATTACAGTTATGGGTTTGGTGACTGCTAAGACAGAAGAGGGTGATCTGTGATTTCTACTATTTAGCTTGAGCCTGGAACCCGATGAGAACCATTTTTAATTTTGCCCTCTGGTCATTGAATCCAGAAATCAAAACATTTTGAGAGACTTTCTTCCCTCTTCCTCCCTTGTTTTGCCTTCCAGGTGTGTGTTTCCCTACTACTGTCCCCCAGGCAGTGCCCATCCACTGCCTTGTGAAGGAGGGTACATGGCCCTCAACTTGCCTGGTCCAAGGGATTCATTTGAGAAATTCTGCAGAATCTGTGATGCAGGCACCTACCGTAGTGACTCCCTTATCACGGCGCCCTGTCAGCCCTGCCCAGCAGGCTTCATCTGCCCACAAGGTAAATAGAGCTGCTATGGGAGGAGTGGGGCAAGAAATAGCAGCTTAAATCATAACCAGAAAGTTTTATGTGGGAAAAGCTCCCAATCCTCTGCAGTTATAAATCCCTGGTGTGGGCTGTCACATTCGTTTCCAGACCATTTGGTGTGGGAGGTTTTGAGAGTTTAGAGAAATGGGTCAAGAGTGGTTTGGATGTTGGTGTCCTGTCTCTCAGACTCTCGCAAGTCCTGTTTTCTGTAATTCTGTGACTTAGCTGAGAGGCCCATAGTTAGTGTATCACCAGATAACACCTTAACACCTTTGTTAAGGTCACTGAGGTGTTCACTCCTGCTGTAGAGCGTGGAGGAGATCAGGTCTACCCACTATTCGCCTCTGGATTTTTCCAGTGAAACAGCTGGGATAAAGAAATCAAGATTTATATTTAAATATAAATAAATTACATTGAAAAATGCTGAACGTTGATTAACTTTATATATACATATTTGTTTGTTTATACATACACTTATATGGGTCTGTGTATATGCGTAACTGGGATAAATAAGTGGTCTCTGCCTGTCCCTTAGCACTTGCTCAGGTCCCTGAGCAGTGTTTGTGTCTGAGACAGCCCATCGCTTTCTCTAGGCAGTGAGAGTTACCACAAGAAGCCTTGCCCCAGTGGCCATTACTGCCCTCCCCTGGCATCTGCCCCTCTGCCCTGTCCCCCGGGAACCCACGGGAGCAGCACCTTCGCAAAGCACTTAGAGGATTGCCAGCCCTGTCCTGCCGGTACCTTCAACCATCTTCCTGCTCAGGCTGCCTGTTTCCCCTGCGGCAGCTCTTCTTCCTCCCAGCCTGGTGAGCTGCTGTTTGTGAGTGAAACTTTCACCTCTGTTAAGAGAAAGACTAAAAAGGAAATCGCATAGAAATGTGATTTCCCCACGTGTTTTCACAATGGACCACAAGCCCTGCGTTCCTCACGATGTGTGTGCTACCAGTGCCCAGCTACTCTTCCTTTGTGCCACACAGAAGGAGGATTCCATTTTCAAAGCTGTCTTTTGTTGTCTCACACTGTTAGCCGAGGGGATTTGATCTCGGCTTCTTCAAAGGAAGGAAAAGATAAGCAGCCCTACTAATTCTTGCTCTGTCATTGTTTTGAAAGCAGTGGAGTTTCCCTGAGAGTACTTTTGCCTTGAATTAGGGATCTTGCATTAGGTGTAGGTGTGCTTTTGAGCCAAAATGTCCAGCCTGGGCCAGGATAAAGTGGGAAAAGGCTAGAAAAGTGGAAGGTAGGTGGCTAAGCACAGAATAGAGTGCATATGTCTTACTCAATGTACTCTGCATTTCAAATCAAGTGGATTTGAGAGTGTTGAGGCACAAGAGAGGGGCTTGGCAGCCTTGATTGACTGGGTCCTTGCCCTGTCCGGTGGCTTAATGTTCAAATTAATGGAGTGCTTGTCAAAATGCCACTGCGGCAAACGACCAGCTGGGCCTTTCTGCATCTCTTATTAAATGGACACTTCAGGAAATGGTCTAATCATTGTGTTGGTAGAGCAGAAGGCAGGCTGGCTCCAGCTGCCTTTCATGTTGGCTCAGCTCTGCTGTGCTAGTGGGGCAGGAGGAGTGTCACTAAAACGAGCAGTGTGATTTGATTAAAGAGTATTCCACACGGGAACTGCTCCTTTGCGATGAGAGCAGCTTTTGTGAACCATATTCCCTACCCTGATTACCACTCGAAATCCATCCTCTTCTCTAAGGTGCTACCAGCTGTACCTGCCGTGGGCTGAACCGGGCTTTCCAGCAGTCAGATGCCTCCTGTATCTGCCAGGCTGGGTACGTTTACTACGATGAGAGAGGCAAGAAAGACCCTGATGGCAACAGCGATCAGGACTGCCGACCTCAGGTAAAGCCTGGCTTCAAAACAAAGTTGTGTGACCCACACAAAAGGAGGAGTAGTTGAGTGCTCCAGGCCTTGTCTCAGGATGTGTACATCTCTGAGCTCGGTTCTCTGGGCTTCTGCAGACACAAGCAAATCCTTTAATTGTTTTGTTTGAGAGGCTTTACCATTCCGTGTAGGATAATGGCATTGTCTTCCTTACCAGAGTCTTGGGAAGTGAAATTCATAAGGACTGGAGGCAAACGATGCTTCCATGTTACAGCAATGGGGAGCAGCCAAGTGCCTCAGGAATTTAAGCCTTCATATTGTTACTATGGAGTTCTTCTTTAGATTTGCTTGAGGAGTTTGGATGGAAAATGAAATTGCCGTCATCTTTCTTCAATGCTTTCCAAGTTATCCTTGTTGGATTTCCTTTACATTGAATGTCAGCGGTGTGGGTGGGGGAGGAAGAGAATTTGAGGCATGCTGCATCTCTGTTAAGTGCTAGAGCTTGTCTGGTTTCACACGTTGGATGAGTGTCATTCTTCCAGGTGGATGAGCTGTGTGCTCCTGGAGAGGTCCGTCTAGCATCTACACGCAAGTGCATTTCTCCTGAGCGATACGACTGCTCTCCTTCTTGTGGGCCTGCAGGTGGAGGGATCAATGCAGAGCTGGGCATGTAAGTCTGAGCCCAGCCTCTCCTTAAGCTGCGCTACACAATTAGTTCTGACTGGCTGAGTTACTGATCCATGAGGTCATTCCAGGATGGAGCTGTGGGAGGTGTTTTGGAGAAACTTTCCATTGTTGGAATTCCTTTCTGTGAAGATACCAGCCTTCAGTCTTCCTTCATTGGCCTCATTCCTCTACCTGGGGACCATGCCTGTGTTTTCAACCTTACCTAGTGATATTGTATGCTCGGGGGGAGACCTAGAATGAACACTGAGTGACAAGGGGAGGGTGGACAGAGCTGACATTTTCTGAGATAGATCTTTTCCACGTACCTCAGGTGGACCTTCGTTGAAGCGGGTGGTCACGGTATTTCCTTTAGACCAGAACTGGGGGAATTGTTCCTCATTCCCCACCCACCTTTTAATGCTGACTAAAACATTGAAGACAGTTCTTGTCATATGATGTTACTTTTTTTTTCTGTATGAATGAATTTCTGTATTGCAAAATCTCCTTCCAACACAGATTGCACAGGAATCTAGTGTGTTAAAATTATGCTTTGTTGCTTTCAACCATTTTGTTAAAGCAGAACTTTAGGGAAGGATGCATAAGGCCCAGTTAGTTTATCTCCATCAGAGACTAACAGAGGCCTGTTAGAGAGTGGGGTACAGTGTTTTGGCCTTTCCCATGCATTGAAAGGCAGACACACGGACTGTGAGTTTGTTCTGTCCCATTTTCCATGGATATACAATAAGCCCACTCCTTGTGCAGATCGTAAGATACCGGGGCCAGTCTGACCATCAGCACATTGGGGCTGTATGCTCAGGATCATAAGTGATCACGACCCTTTGTCTGCTTTACAGATGTCACTGCAAGCAGTACGTCTCTGCTGAGGAGCTCTGCGACCAGCTGTGTTTGCTGAAAGCCCCACGGATCTCCTTGGGGTTCGGCATCAATAGGGAGCTGCTTCTGAGGATGAATGATGGAGAGGTGAGGGTAAGTATGGAATGGGGGAACTCTTTCTCTGCGTGCAAGTCTGGAGAGACCCCTTATGTGAGTGAAGAGAAGGAGGAGAGGCTCAGTATGTCTCGTTACCCAGAGCACTGATCAGGCAACAGGTTAGTGCATTACTGAGAAATAATCATTCCTGAATGGTGGGGGGAAAAAATCTCAATAAAGCAGTCTTGTGCAACTGAAGATTGATCACAAACCAGGATCTAAGTCCAAGGTTGATTGTATCAGTGATCAGTGTTCCCCTCTGCTTTTAATAGGAAGTGGCAAACGTTCTGGGCCCAGATGAACATGTGCAGAAAAGCCAGCGGGTGCATTTGGTTCTGTTTAGTCCTGGTGGAGTGCTGGGTTTTATTGTCTCCAGCACAGATGTTCTGGATGCATTTCTCACGGGTAAGGCTCGAGAGCCTCTCAGAGAGAATCTCAGTTCCAGTTGGACTAAGTCATTTGTTTCCTTTCCAGTTGGCACAGAGGAAATTTTATCATCAGACATTCCAAATTATTTAGGAAGTTGGGAGAGAACTCATTCTACCTGGGAGACCTGCACTGGCTGCACAGTTAGCTCCCCAGGAACAGGTCAAATAAAAATTGTAGGATGATTTTGGCCTTCCAAAGAACTAAAAGGAAAGTCCATTTGGGGGCAAATCTATTGGCAAGTGCATGCTGGCTCCTGATTCCAGTTGCTCCTCATTTGTGGTAGCATGACTGAAAGCAGAATTTGGCCTTGTAAGCTGTAATTGACTACAGATAGAAGAGAAATTATTCTTTATTGCCGAGGGTTAGGTGTTTTCACATGCTGCTCATTTTGCAGAATTAATTGTGTTTCCTTCTGTTGCCTGTGGCAGGAGATTTTTCATCCGATCCGTTGCTACACAAAAGTCGTCGCATCCCGAGGACTTCCTCCAAAGATAGCCATACCTTGCCCCTCATTCCTAACCCGGTGGTGTGTTTGGAAGCAGGAGACACGATCCTTTTCCAGCTTAGCATCAATTCCCACAGTAAGTGCTGTTGGTCTGGGTGCTCTTTGCAGATATGTGTTTCTGGACCCATTCAGGGTAATGACTCCTCATTTAGTAGTACTGCGTGTATGAGCACATTCCTTCACCTTCTTGTCTCTTTTGCCCTCAAGGGATTCCAGAACTTTAGCCTAGACTCTGCCAGTGGCTTACCTAGTGTTTTTTTTTTACTTTTTGACTAGATTTCTGTAGAATAGAGATAATTTTTTTCCTCTGTTAGAAGGGGTTCAGTCTCTGTTGGGCAGTAATGCATCTCGGTAAATGAGTTGACACTGTGTGGCCCTGTAAAAGAAATGCAGTCACATAGTTCTGGCTGTACTGGTGTCAGCTGTCCTAACTGACGTGGGTCAGAATTGCTGACACCCTGCTAAACTGTTCCCAGATCGTGCGTCCAGCCATTACCCTGTTTATCAGAAGCAGCATCTATATAACAGCAACCCAAGCTGGGATTTTGGACCCTTCCGAAGGCTAGACCACCTCATCCAGGAGACTCAACTCAACATCTCCTGGTAATATCTGGTGTGATCAATAGTGTATGTGTTCTGGGCAGTGAGCAGTAAGTGGAAACACCAAAGTTTGGGGTGGTCAAGTCCGTGTATTTAACCATCGTCATGGCTGGAGGCTAAAGGAAGCTTGGATTAACCAGTGCTTTCCTTATTTCTCCCTTTTAGGTTTGCCCATGTTTTCCTGGAGTCTGGGACATATGTTTTCAGGGACAGGACCATCCAGGAACACTTTCTGATTGTGACTGTGAATGAAGCAAATGTGGGCTGTGACCCCAGAAATGTGTCCTTCCAGCCTTCTTCTGTGTTCCAGCTGGCCAGACATGGGGTTTTGAAGCAGCAGGATCTGAACTTAGCTCCTAACTGGGCTGCTATCACAGGTACAGCCGAAAAAATTGATACCTGTCTTGAACCTTGATGCTTAGCCATGACCTTTCTCATACCTTTTTGGATGTGTTTTCTTTTTAAATACCATCAAACCACTGGCTTTGTCAGCTTTAATCCCTTTCTTCTGTGGAACTCCCCGAAGTTCATTGCTGTCTAGCAAAGAACCTGCCTGTGTAGGAGCTTGAAGCAGGGACAGAGGGAAGGAGAAGTTGTATTTCTCCCCACACCCTGCTTGAGGAACTCAAGTAGTAGAGGGCTTTGTTTTCCTTGGCTTGAAAGTAGAAAGTGCCAGTGCGTTTCCATGATAAACTGAACTGAAATTAAATGCATCATTTAAAAGTTCACTAAAGGATAAACACAAGGGCAGTTAAGGTCTTTCCTCAAAGCCATACCTGTGTGTAAGTGCTGTACATGCACCGGTTCCTTGTCCATCAGAGAGAGGACAGTTAAGGCAAGAGAAATGAAAGTGGGGCTCGAAAGTGTGATCCTCAGTTCTGTCACCTTTGGCTACTAGCACTGAAAACATTCTGCCTCCTTGGCTGCATGCACCAGATCAGCAAGGGGAGAAGCAGAAGCTCATGTAATGAATATGAAAGTTGCTAAATGCTGGGTTTGTGTGGGAGAGAGAGTGTTTAGTAAAGTGTAAAATGGAGACTGTGCTGTTGATACACACTGCTTCCTGTGTGTCTCATTTCTCACCATCTCTCTTGGCTTCCCCAGTGGTTCTCTTTGTTCTGGGCTTCCTAATTGTGATGCTGACAACCCTGGCTATAGTGCTTCAGCCTGCTGTGCCCGTCACTAGCCCCCTGAAGAGCTGGAAGCCGCGATGGAGGAGCCTGGGCGAGCCACACATCCCACCAGAGTACATCCTCCTTAAAGACAGGTAAATGCCTTTGCACGGAGCAAAGGAGCTCAAACTTTGACAGTACAAAAGCGCGTCCTGTTACAGTTATTGCCTCACTCCTTGATGCTGGGCTTCTTGCCAGCTTTACAGTACACTGGATTTCTAGCTGCACCGAGTGTTTCTTGGTATTCCCTAGGAGTTCCCCAGCAGTATTCCAGCTCTCTTCCAGTGGGATGTAAAACAGTTGTTTTGTGATCTGCACAGAGTATTATTGCCTGGATTACCTGGCCTTCCCCTGTATGTTTTGACTTCCAAAATCTAGACAGGAAACCTGTCCTGCTGGAACTAGGCTGGTGATACTAGAGTATCTGATTTTACTGAGAAGAGTAAGATGGTCTTCATTCTCTTCTGTCATTCCCTCTAGCCTTCAGTTCTATCAGACGGTTGGTCCTCATGGTTCTGGAGCAGATACTGGCTTTGGAGAGAAAGGAGCTGAGCCTAATGCAGGTGAAGTACTGTGCCAACCCCGGGTGTTCTCCCGTTGACTTCTTCCCACTTACTCCCCATTCTCTTGTCTACTCTTATATTTTTAAATAATGTTATTGAAAATTATTTCCTTGGATTCTCCTGCTGGTCGATCTGTTGTCTGAAGGCCAATGACTCATGGGCCTTCTTTGCTTTCTGTGGATGACCTCATCTTGGGAATTTCAGGATGTTCACAGGGTACAGTGAGGGCAGAGCCCAGCAGATGGCACCATCTAGTGATGATGAGAACATCTACTTACAGAGAAGTAGCACTCTGACAGTTTACTGGACAAGTTAGGAGTTGATAGTAACGCTCTGTCATTCTCCCCCTCACTACCATCCTCCCCTCTCTTACATTTCTTGCCTCATCCATTTTCCTTCTTCACAGTATATGAAATGGACACAGTACATTCCGATGGACAGGCAGTGCCCCTTCTGGGAAATAAATTAGAATAGACTTGTGGCTGGTGTTGAAAGGTGAGACTTACGTTGTGTTTCAGAAAAGCGTTTTACTCTGAGGGTTCTGGAGGATTTCAGCGTTCGCACCCTGTACGATAAGCTGGAAGATCAGAATTTGCACCTGGCATCTCAGCTGGCCAAGCACAGGATGGACGTGTTGGTGTTCTACAACGGAATCAGCCAGCAGATGCAAAGTCTCACGGTCAGTGTGAAGAAACAATTGACAGAGGGAAGTCTTGGAACTGTGAAATTTTTAAGAGAAGTGGTTGCCCTGAAGTGGCACAGGGATATGTCTTATTCGTTTTGGTACCTTATTCTGGCATAAAACAGTTATGCTAATCTCTGTTTTGAATGTGAAATGGGTGGGTTGTGAAGCTTGCAGAGTATAATGCTGCTGCTTTATATAAACAGGACATGGTGCAAGCGCTGGACCCTGAAAGCCTGAAAATCTTTGCCAGGCAAAAGATTTGTGATCATAAGCCTGCAGAGAGCAGCTGGGCAGCAGCGGGCCTTGAACAATGTGGTGAACATTGCAGCAACAACTTCCAAGCAGGTGAGAGAACCAGAGTGCAGAACAAGAGAGAAGTGTGGTGTAAAGGTAGTATCAGTGGACCAGGTGAGTGTCAGCCTAGGAACACGTAAGCACAGAGTTAGTTGGAAATCTTACCGCATGAGGCATCTTGGAGCCACCTTGTTGCATTTCCAATGAAAGGTTCCTGCTCTTGATTTTGCTCTGGAGATAATTGCAGTTCTTCGTGTACTTCTGTAGAAGTCCACTTGAATTGCTTGTCAGGTTCATTAGGTGCTCTGTGGCAAGAGGCAACAGAATTAATGAAAGCTCTGGAAATGCTGCTTGGGAACGCTCTGTACAAGAACGTAGCTGTGAAACGAGAGATGGAGCAGAAGGTCCAAGGACAGGATACGGTGGCAGTTGTACCCTCACCGGGCAGCCTGGACAGCGAAATTAAATCGGAAGTAGTGGAAGGGCAGGTGATTTGCAAACGGCTGTTGTTGGGCCATCTCTCACCTTTCTGCTAATTTTTCCACTTACCCATTTCCTTAACTCTTGGGCCTTTTTTATCCCACAGGATCATGAGCTGCCTCAGCTAAGTGAGCTCTTCAGTAGGACTGATGCTTTTTTCAGCTTCCTCAGACATGAAGAACATGGTAAGGACAGCAACACAGTGACTCAGTTGTAGGTGCCATGGGTACTTTTCAGAGGTGACAGTAGAAGGCTGGTTCAGTGAAGTCTAGGTTAAGAGTGGGTGTGTGTGTTTACTAACAGAGCAAATGTATAATTATGTTTTCCCATGTATGTTATTTCTTTCTTACGTAATTTTTTTTTGCTGAGGTGGAGAACTGAAATTTGTCCAGTTCAGAAAATCCACTTCTGCCTCCTCTATTCCTCTGTAAGAAGGAAGTCAAGAAGCTTTTGTCCCCACAGACCCTTTGCACACACATTATGCGACCAACTATAGGGAAAAGATTGGGTGTCATTATACTCATTAAATGCTAAAATAGGGAGGTCAGGAAAATTCTATACCATCAGTTCTGTGATCCTCACAGCCTCTGAGTGGGATTCTGTCTGCTCAAATCAGTATTTCCTGTGGCAACATGCATGTTGCATTCATCCAGCCACTAAGAGCCTCTTCTTCCTTTAGGCTTAAAAGTGACCCCCTGTTTTCTTCAGGTTTAGATCCGCATTTGGCTTATCTGACTGAGTTGGAGGTGGAGGGCCTGATAGCAGCTTCCCCCCTCGCCAAGACCCTGTGTGACATCAAGCAAGCTTTGGTGAATCTGCAGCAACGTTCAGACCTTCTTAATCCAGGTGACAAATCATAGTCTGTATTGCAGTTTCTGTTTCCCTATAGTGGGTGGGATATAGGATTACAAAACGGGAGGAGAGAAGTTGTCTCATCCTTGGTACCTTGGTAGAACACACACGTGAATGTCTGCTGTCGAGCTGCAGGCCATTAAAAAGAAGTCAGCAGAAGGTCAATAAGCTTGGCTAATTGACACATGTAGGCTTGTTTCTTCCTTTCACTCAGCAGGTACTTAGGCAAACAGAGGATTTTTGTTTCTTAGGAAATGGTTTGTTAGACCTTTTCTGTTCATCACAAAAGGTTTCTAGGGAAAATGTTGTAACACAGCCAAGATCTGGGATCTCAGGGAGTAATTTACCAGCAGGAGAATGATGCAGCTTCTTCTCTTCGTGTGTGCTCGTTTATAGCAGTAGATAAGCAAAGAGTTAAAATAAGCAGGCTGTCTTCTGAACTGGATGTTTTCCTCAAGCTGTTGCTGAATTTTTAGACTGTGATGCTGGGAGTTTGAAATTATTAATGCCGTGGGTTTGGTGTAATTAGGGATGGATCATTTGCATTATTTTGAAATTCAGATACAGTGAACTTTGCAAAGGCCTGGATGTGCTGTCACTGTGCACTCTGCAGCTTGCCACCTACTCCGGAGTCACTGTCACAGTGATAGTGCAGGCAGTAGATCCTGTCCTGTTTTTTTGCCCATTGGACCAGGCTGTCTCAGTGGTGACATAGCGGTCCCCTGATGCTGTCCACTGAACTTGCACTCTGCTTGTTTTGAATTTCTGTGACAGCCAGCAACCATCAAACAAGCGTGGGAAGCTCAGCCCTCTTCTGAGCTGCTGGATTCTTGAGCCACAAAGAGGGATGAAGCTCTGCTGCTGGAAAAAAAGAGGAGCTGCAACGCTGAGAGGATTGAAGAGACGCAAGCAGAAGTATTTCATCTTCTGCAAAGTAAAATAGCCACCAGCTCATTTCCTGGAGAAACCTAGCTTATCCCTGGCAGTGGCTAAAGGTGGATTATGGGAGAGAGTGCGTGTCTGTGGACAGAAATAGATGCATATTTAGTTAGAGATGTGCTTGGTCAAATATGTAATGAATAATCCATATTCTGTTTGTTTAACCTCGTTGAAATACTGTCACACTTGTCTTGGATTATCAAGAATTCGTAGGCTTGAGAATGAAGCTGAGGTTCTTGATGTTGCTTACTAATTTTATAAGTTTTCATGGTTAAGTCAGTAAAGCAGAAAACACATGAGGCCACCACACATGAGGGTTGTATATGAGCCCCTACTTATCGATGCATTCTGTATAGCCTTTATGATCTCTGATACAGAGGATATTTGTGAGGGTTTTTCAAATATAATTTAGATCCACACCTCTGTGCCGTGCCCAGCATCTCTACATTGTCTGTGACTGTTTTCATGTCCTCATGTTGATCTTGGTAAGATCTGCTGGCAGACCTTGAAGGCCTCTAGAGATGTGATTTTTCAGCAAAGAGTACAATTAAACTATTCCTTCTAGTGGTGCCTGCAGGGATCACTGTAGCTGCTGGTGTCCGGTGCTCTGGGAGTCTGGTCTTTAAACTGAAAATATATTTTTTATTATTTTGCCCTGTATGATGCCAAGAGAGCCTGGCTGTGAAGTAGGCTTTGCTTCTGGGGAACAGGAACGAAATTGGAACACTTGCTCCAACTCTTTCTCTTTGCTCACTACTCCTTAGCTCCAGGTGAAGTGCAGCAACGTAAAACATCTTGACTGGGAGCCAGCCCCGTACCTTGACAACCCCCACAGGGAGGCTTCAGCCCAACAGCAAAGCCTATTCTCTTCTCATTGCAATATTTACCGAATTGCTTATGTGTGAAGAGCCTTGTGAACCCACTCCTTCCTGGTTCCTAGACACAAATCTGTGTGTACTCCTTCTGACTCCTTCTGACTTTGCATAACCATCGTGGGCATTAAGAGGGGTGAGACGTCAGTGCCTGGGAGCCAAGACAGAAGGTCTCAGTTTTGCTTCCATTTGCTGGTGTCTCTAGTGGATTCAGAGGAACTGCAGGGTCTTTTGCCCTCATCTACTCTTTCTGGTGGTTCCAGATTTTCTGAGCTTGCTCCTCAAAACCAAAAGGTGTGTTTTGGTTCCTTTGCAACTTTACCTTGGGAGAATTTAGGTACTTACTGACAACTTTGAAGGGACTTCCATGAATGGGAGGATTTTAGGAAGCAGAACATACCTAAGGCAAACACTATAGAACACCTTTGGGTCACTCTGTGATTACCTGTTCTAGAATATGGTAGTGAAAAAACTGTCGTCATTTTCCCATTGCTTTCTTTTTTTTAGGTTATCAGCAGATATGTTTATAACAGTACTACATGGAGGTAAGCATCATCAGTCATTTCTGTCTCTGAAGGAAACAAGGTACCCAGAGAGGTGATAAAGTTATCTCTGTGACTTGTGATGCCAGGTAATACTTATAAAAGGCAGGGTGGAAGGCAATAGTAAATAAAATTTGTTAAACTTTTCATTGTAATGATTTTTCAATTAAAACAGTTTTTTGGTTTAGATCAAAACAAAGAATGGAATTTTGCTCCAAGTTTTCTTTTTTTCCCCCATTGTGGTTTTCTTGACAAGTACACTTCAGCTATAAGTAAACATTTTTGAGTTTCAAAATGTTTTGGGTATTTCCCCGCCCCCAAGAAAACCAAAGAATATCAATTAAAAGACCAGAGTTTCTCACAGCTTTTCTTTTCATGCTCTGTTAATAGTGCCTTGGAAAGAACAAATACAAAGAGGAGTGGTGCAACCATTGGTTTTGTTCTGGTTTTGAAGTATTTACTGTTGGTAGGTCTTTTCGTAGTGGTTTATGGAATCTTCTGGAAGTCCAGTGCTGTCTGGAGTAGTTGTAAAGTCCCCTCACATTCAGAAGGGTGCCATTTCCCTGAGCCTGCTGATAAGAGTGATCGAGTGCAGGGTCACTTAATTTGGAATTGGGAGAAGGTCACAGGGCTGTTGGGTTTTTTTTGGTTGCTTTAACTTGTGCCTCTCTCAACAGAAAACAAAAAGACCCTTTTCAACATTCATTGCAAAGTTCAGCTTCTCTTGGAGAGCTGCTGTGGCTGTGAGAAGGAAGGTATGGTTGAGTTCCCTGAAAAGGAGCCTCTTTGGTTGATGTCTGTGTGTGGCTCTGGGTTCTCAAATGAGCTGTGTAGTTTCTGCTGATTCTGCCTTCCAGCGTGAAACTGCTGTCAAGCCTCCCAGTGTGTCAGCAAAGATTATTATTTTGAGATGGTCCTGAGTCATAGTACTCAACTAAAGTGCCCCCAGAATTTGGGCTGGTTTTCAGATGTGGGGTTTTTTTAAACTCAAGCTTTGCAGAGCTTGAGTTTAATTGCCATAGCTCTTAATAGCTTCTTGCCCTTGAACCCTGACCTGGACTTCTCTGTGTTGCAGGTGAAATAGAACTGGCAGATGAAAATGGCCAAGTGAAGAATTTGCTCCAGAATCAGGACCAGTACGCATCACAGCTCCTGAGTGAGAGGGAGTTTTGTATTTTACTCAAAGTCACACGTACGTACATTTGCAAGTCTCTACATTGGAGATGCTTTTGTTTTCCTTTGTAGCTAAAGAAATACCCACACACAGGTGAAGGTTGAAAGTTGAAGAGGATTTTCACCCTGGATTCTCAGCTTGAGTCTCTGTGCATCTTTGTCTCCACTCAGAGACAGTGGGACCTAATGATGTGGAAATTAAGGCTGCTTTTGAAAACAGTGTAGTGGAAGTCAGGATCCCCTCCATGTGTGACAGAGATTTCCTCACAGTCCCAGTTCTACCTGCAGGAAGTGTCCTTCCAAAAGTTTCTGGGTTTAATGCTGTGCTTCTATTCCTCACAGGACATGAAGGCTCCCAAGAAGCTGTTTTTACACCACTGCTGAAAGATCACAGCATTGTCACTCCAAAGTTCCTGGGTAGGTAACCTGAAGTGGATGTTTCTATAAACTTGTTCTCAGGCATGAGAAGAGAGAAAACCATCAGTTGTACTTCTAGGGTAGGAATAAAAGCCTGAATTAAAGAAGAAGGGGGTTAATTTGTAGCCAAAATGGGAAGTCTTTCCTTCCAGAACTAAAAAAACTAAACCTAACTTCTTTCTTGTAAGAAGAAAATGCTTGTTAATATCATCCATTGTGCATACCATGGAAGTAAAAGAATTACTTGTGCTCTTCTCTTATCAGTTCCTTTTTCTTTTCTCTCTGCAGCTAAATTGGGGAAGAGGGAAGATTCAAAAGTATCACCTACCAGAGTGAAATCCAGAAAATATGGCAAACAAGCAACCTTGCCTTTGGAGGTTCCACCCACAGAAGGTGAGCCCTGACCTGAATGAAATGAATACTTAAAATTTCTTTAGGTCGCCAATTCCTATCCATGAGTGTATTGTGTTTCTGTCACAGGTAAAAGGAGTCATTCACCACAGGGCAACAAGAATAAAACCGTGGCTTCCTCTTCCAAAGAAACTGGGACATTCTAATCATGGCAAATCAAAGGAGTTGCTTGGTACTGAGTTTTGGAGGCCATCTCTAGGCATGTTAGTGTATTCCTTCATGAAACACACAATTTGTTGGCTTTTTTTCCAAAAGCGTACAGTAGTAAATGCCTTGTTTCTTTGAGAAAAGAATAGTCTCACTGAAATAGTGGATCAGTGAGTCACTTTGAAGCCGGGTACATGTTTAATAAGTATGCCAAATGAAGCCTTGGTTCTTGCAGACACTGCGCTGTTGTTGAATCACGGAAATTGGCAGAAGGACAAGCTGCAACACCGGGTTGGTTCATCTTTAACTCAGTAGTTTTACTTTTGGAATTATTGAAGTAGTCAATTAACACATCCATAGTACTTTCATCTCAACTTTTACCTGACCAACTTCTTTAAATAACTTTGTAGCTCCTCGGGTGGGTCATATCTTACATGGACTGGACCCTGGTCCATCTTTCACATACCTGTTGAATCATCAGTCCTCCTGATTTGTTGTGCTAAGTATTTGTATATATACAGCACAATGAGGAACGTGTTAAAACTGCATATAAAGTTTTAGATAATCTTGTAAAAGCTATAGATGAGTCTTTCTTCTTCAAGGTTCCTCTTAAAAAAAAAAAAAAGGGCTGTAAAATCTAATCAGTGAGAACATGACTTTTCTCTGTACAACACCCAGTGATACATTGATCTCAGACAAATGCACAAACAATTTTGAAGTTGCAGCACTTTTGTTGTTGAAAATATTTTGAATTAAACAAAGAGAACTCCAAAATGTATTTTTTAACAGTGGCCCCCAAACAAGGAGAGAGCTGTTGGGACTTTCCAGTAAGATATTCCCTACATGCTGGTGATTGTACAGTGACGTTCATCTGTGTCTGTTTATGGGAGAACTCTGTGACAATCTTGAATCTGTGACAACCTTGGCTGTATTTATCTGTTCCTGTCACAGGAAAGTAGTATCCGTATTTTCTACAAGGAACTGATGCTCAGGGGAAGATCTCAGTCATCCAGCAATTCAAATTCCTGCTGCTGTCTTGGGAATTAAAAGCAGCAACTAATTTCTGTTAAAATCAAGGAGGAAATCTGTGGTGATGGAGATGCTGTTTTTCTGCTTCAAATGTGTTCTGTATAACGCCTATTCTATGTGTGTCATTGGTTCTGATGTATTTTGATACATGCCTGGAATCCAGTTAGCATCTCTTTTCTGTGGATTTGAAGAAGTATTAAGACACATAATATTTTGATGATACAGAAACAGTCCCCATAGATGATGTCACCAACTTGCTGTGTTGCAAAAGGCATGAAGCAATGGAGCTCCAAAATGAGATCGTGCTGATACCTGGGAAGTGCAGAACTAGTGTCTGCTTTGGATATGTAGGGATCTAAAATCTGCTGGGACATGGCAATCTCCCCCTCACCCATCTGTCAGGCAGTGTAAGTTCTGACAAATCAAAGCCCAGAATAGCAGAAAACATGCACTGTTCTCTGTGAGAAATCTGCTGCAGCCCATCGCTCCTACACCTCTGAGCAATAAAGCAAACAACTCTATAGTTCCAAAACCATACAAAGTGTACACCTCTGATATTCTTACTGGGAGAAAACCCTCTAATAAGCCTACTTCTTGGAGCAGATTTGCCAAGCCAAACATAGATAAAGTGAAGAACATGGCATTAAAAAACTGGTGGTTTCCAGGTGCCCAGATCTTACTAAATTCTACTGGAGGGCCAATGTGCGTAGGTCTGCCAGGGTGGCCTTTGTAAACGGTGGCAGGGGAGGTACTGGCTGATAACTGGGTTGTGGTCAACAAGGAAGTCAACAAGCTGTATAGGTCGAAGGCCTCTTATAATGCTGGACGTGGAGGCCGGTCGCTTTTTGGCAGCCATAAGAAACAGCTTACCTGAAGCACCAAGCTCTTCAAGATCCACAGAGTGAGCAATACTGCAACGTTAGAAGGCAGGAAGGGTGAATTGCCACAGTCCTATGTGTAGATCCTGGGCTAACAGCTTGTTGGAAGAGGGCCAGATAATGAATACGCTGACAAATGATACCAGGAGGAGAGATCAGAGGAAAAAGTGAATATTTGTGGTTTGGTTTTGCATTCCAACACAGCTGCAGAAGTTAGAAATTGGAACTATAAAAAGACACAATCCTCTCTTATTACAGGTTGCCGTGAAGTTGGATTTACTTAGACAAAATTTCAATATATCTTGCTATAGCTGAGTTCATAACCTGTGGGGTTTTTTGGTCTTGTCAGAGAAGCCAGAGTTAATTTTTATTCTTCTAGCAAAAGGAGTGTTGTACACAGGGTAAATAGTCCTTGAACTCTCTGCGGGAGAAATAATTTTAAATTTTAAGATGTGAATGTTACTTCATCCATAGTAAGTCCATCAGTGAATGTTGCCCATCAATGATTTACCACCCTAAGGAGTTTTCCTGCAGTGTATTTACCTGTGCTTTTGTAGGTCAGCAGTAACTGAGAACGAGGAAGACTTCATAGTGTTATAAATCCTTTGCTTACCTTGGTTTCTCCACCCTCTCTTAGCAAACTGCAGTTCCAAAACTCATAACAAAGCTGAGAAAGGAAGTATTTGTGCAGCAGAATTACTCCCCTCAGGTTTTTGTTGGTTTTTTTTCTTCCCACCACATTCACCTTCTGGACTGGGAGGAAATTTGAGACCAGGTTGTGTAGATCCTGGACTCAAGGAGAAACTCACCTTGTGGAAGAGTTCAATCTCGGCAAGAAGCAAGCTGGATCCAGCTGCCATCTGACCAGGAGGCTGTGCAGCCAAGCGGCTACTTCCCCTTCCAGTTACTGTTCATACTGCGTTGCGTGGTGCTGGGGGGGAGCAGGGGGCAGTTCTTCTGCACCCCAGTTGACCTGCCCTGGTTTGTACCCTGTAAAGAAATCTCAGTTATAGCCGGGAACTGGGAGGAGATTTGTCTTGGGAACATTCTGTCTGTTCAGGATGTAATGAACTTTCCTCCAAAGTAGCTCCTACCTGGCTATTCTGGACAGAAATACAGAGTAATTCAAGCCTAATCTTGCAGAGCTGACTTGAACGCCCTGGGAATTTAAAGCAAAATTCATTTCAGCCACAACGAAGGGACTGGCTCTGGCCAGGGCTCTGCTGCTCCCAGACTGGCAAAGGAGTCAAGAGAGTTAAGACAGAGAAAGCCCTACTTGTTTCCCAGAATGACTGACCTGGACACCTGAAATAAAATAGCAACACAACAGCACTGTGCTTCTGACCTCACACGAGGACTTGTGATCTTTGTGGTCTGTTGCTGCCTACCTCTTGGCCTAGTTTGCCATTTCTTTAGCTCCTGCTCTTGTTCAGGTCTGCATAGTTTTGTCCTTGCATTTCTTGTCTCAATAAGGCAGTACTTATAAACTGAAATTCTCCTCTCACAACCCAGCCTTTTCATTTTTCTTTAAGAAAGGAGAGGCTACAGGGAACTGGTGCTGTAGGCATCTTTAAAATCAAAAATAGCTGTATGTGTGTTTTTCTTCTTCTTTCTGTCACGTAACTGTAATGCTTCTGCCTGGCTGCTCTCTCCTCCCAGCCCTCCCTGCAGGAGGGCAGCAGAACCAAGCACAACATCAGATGCAAAGCGTTGCTGTCAATGGTATCTGGACTTTAACTCTCCTCCTTCCCTGTCTCTCTGGCACCACTTTTGCCCCCAGGAGAGGTAAAGGTAGCTTCTTCAGGCTTATTGGGCTTTCTGCTTGGGGGAGATTCCCTACGCTTTGTCTTGTGGATCTTATCTACTCTCTTACTCAACATACTATGTTTTTTATTTGTGCAGAACTTCTGCTGAGCTGTTTCATACAGTCCATCCATTCCACACACCTTCGTGTTCCTCTCTCTGTCCATCTTTCTCCCCATCCTTATTGCTACCATGACTCTGCAGTGTGCGTTTCTACACTCTTTGATTTGCAGGGCACTCAGATTGCCATTGAGATCATAAAGATTTTGACCTAATGCCCAGAATACAGGCCTAGAGACCAAGTGAGATATGCCAGGAGTTCTACCAGAAGCAGGTTTACTCACATGATAAATGATACTGTCCGTGGGATTTTCATCAGCAGTGAGCTCTTCAGAGAAGCTACAGGATAACTCAGTTCTCTACTGACTTTCTTTCATTTTCTTCCATCTCCCCGCAGTTCATGGCACTTGCCATGTGTTTGTTTCCCTCCTTTGATCTGTATTTTCCTAATTTGCTCTGTTTTTCAGCTTCTTACTGCAGTTACCTTAGCTCCTGAGTGATGGCTCACTGGGGTTTAAAATCTGTGAATCATTAGCATTAGTTCCATGTGATAAAACTGCTCTCCCTACACCTCTGGTAGTTATATATGAGACAGAGAGTTAAGTGACACAGACTTACCTGAGCCATTTTTCTTCGTTTGCTTCCCTGCTTGGTGCACAGAGCCTTCATGTCTGCTGGCAGTGGCTGTGAAGGAATCTTCTGTGCTGCTGGAATTTCACTTCTGCTGACTCAGCCGCATGACAGGGAGGGACCGGAGAGATGTCACAGCCTGGGGCAGTGGTGGTCCACGGAGGTGAGAGGATATGCTGGTATCAGCAGAGAGGAGAGAGCACAATCTATCTGCTCATGTGGTCTCTCCTCCTTCCCTGCTGGTACCAGCACATTCTCCTCACTCAGGTTCAGGCTGGTGCCAGCATTTTTTTTCTTTTTTATTTTTTATTGGTCTTTTGCACAAAATAATTTGGTTTTCTACATAGTCAAAACAAAGGTCACACCAGCTCTTAGAGCTGAGGGACACCGGTTAGTGGGAGCCTTTTCAAAGGCATAGCTTTGAGCTGTGTCCCCATTCTGTCCCTGTCACAGAGATGCCAGAAGAGACAGTTACAGGGAATCTTTCAGTATGTTGTTGGCCAGCATGCCTCACATAATGTGGACTTAACAGAAGACTGATGTATTTAGGGAAAAGAGGAGCTAAGTAAGAGATTCTTGAGGAAGAGAGAAGTTTCTTATCTACAAAATTAATTCTGATTTGGAAATGTGTTTTCCTTTCAGCAAGGGACTATTCTAGGTGTTCAGATCTTTTCACAAAGATCGACAATGGTGTATTTTCTTCCTATTCAGTCACTTGTGTAACAGCCTGATCCTGTAAATGCTTTATTCAAGACCAACAAGTAGGTGTTGTACTCATGCAAGATTCTCGGAACTCTGCTGTGCATTTTTTCCCCCACCAAACTGCAAATCTGTGGCAGATCTGCACAGTTTTCAGGTATCTTCTTGAATTCACAAAATAGCACATAGTGATGCTTCATGCGAGGCCGAGCAGAGATTTTAGAGAGATCTGACCATGAAAGCTTTAGTGCTGCCTCTGAAAGACAATTGGAATAATTCCTGAGAATGTAAACCAAACTGATGTAGTGGTCTAGAGGCCGGTGGCAGAGATAGTTGCAGTGGTGTAGGACACAAAGTGTGAAGGTATCAGCTGCTCCGTTGGAACCTGCTCTAGGATGGTGAAGCAGCCTTCAGGGCTTCAGACCTGGCAAACTGACAGCGTAGGAATTTCTGCTTAAGAGGCTGGGCTTGAACAGAACAATGTGGTTTTTCTTGTAGTTTCCCAGTTGCATAGCCCCCAAAGTTGTCTCTTTTCCAGTTTTACGAGAGTGGTGGCTGGGGAAGTATGGAGACTATGTAGGGCTGGAACAGTGGGACACAACAGAAATGCTGAATTACTGAAGATTTCATAGGGCGGTAAAATAAATAATGCAATGCAATCATTTCCAATCTTTTTATTGTCAAGATACTTTCAGATTAGGAAGTTTCTTGCCT